TTAAAGGTTTATCATGTATGTATAACGGTATCTATTGATTAACGATCCAGGTTTTTAAGAAAAAATATCTAAATCGAATAAACGTGTCGATTTATCAAATTATCAGACCTCACGTTATATAAAACAATAGCCATCATGATAAATGTAAACGAAAAAATGAAACAATTAATCAAATTAATGAGTTAATTTATGAATTAACATAAAAAATCAAAAATACATTCATAATAAATGATTAAAGCTAAATAAAATTGAGTCTAATTTTAGCGTGTAGTTAAATAGTTAATACGAACGAAATAAAAATCTGTGATATAAAATAAAAAATATTCGTGTCCTGTAAAGAACCTGTTCTTTCGAGTTTAGCTTACATTATTATATCCTAGTGATTTTATTCATACACTTGTATACTTACAGTATATTAACAAGGTGTGATTGTATATATGTAACGACAACTAACGTTTACCCACGCGGTTTGTTGATAGAGGAACAGGTTGGCGGACACACCGGGAAACCGGTACCCACTTTCCTCCGTCACACTATATATTCATTATTATATTATTACACATACATATATAAATAAGCATACATCTATTATGTATGTATGTATGTAGTGTAATAGTCCTGAAACTCCTTCAAACAGCGGCGGGTGGTTGTGGTTGTCACGTGATCACAAACTTTTTTCGTCTCTCTTGTCCGCCTTCGCGACTAATGTTAATTAATAACACAATTCAGATATTTTCATTTGTCTATTTATAAATAACAAGCCCGGTTTTTCATAAAAATCCTAAAAATGTCCTTAAAAAAATTTGGTTTTATCTGAAAAAAAAATAAATTTATCGTTAAAAAACGGGCGATAATTTGAATATTAATTTTCACTTAAAAAAGCTCTAAAGGTAAAAGCTCAGTAATGAAAACAAGAGCTGCTTTATTTGCGGAGGGTAACTCACCCCGTTGGATCAATGCATAAAAGCTGCGGTGGCTTATCCGTTGAGCATTAAATCGATTATAACGGTTTGAATAAATAATTGTAGATGAGATTATTCTGATAGTAGTTGAAATGAGCTTAACATGTAGTTAAAGTGTCACTAAGAAATTTTTAACGATAAAATAAAAATGATTAATAGTCGATAAATCTTTTATTATATGAATTTCACTTGGTTGTATCCAAGGAGAAAGGTTTTTTTTTTTTGTTATTATTATTTTTTAGTAGTAAAAGGGCCGTATGTAGCTCATCAAGATGTGACTACTAATGATTACCTAAATCGGACATAATCAATTCTCCGTTCACTTTTGTATATATAAATTTAAAAAATATAAAAGAGGAAACAGTATATTATATTTATATACAAGAAAAAGTTTAGTACGGTGTCTGAATAAATGAGGAATATTGAATTGACGTTGAATGAATGTTAAGAAGATGATTGCGAAGAAAATTATTGGATAGCAGTTTTATTTAAGTAGGACTATTGACTACAGTAGACAGCGACTGGGAGAGTTCGATGCTCGTGTATTACCCCGACTACTTTTATAAGTATATACATATATCTCTTCGTTGTATGTTAAAAATGTGTGTAGTGGTGACACACCAGTGCATCGACAGACACACACATACAGATGTAGTCAGAAAAAGAGAAGAGGCCGAGCGTTCTATCTTTAAATTACTATAATAGATGACCTACGATTGGCCTGGTCATTCGTGGCCTCTTCTGATACCAATCGATACCATTAAGTCTGGAAGCATACAATGAAAAATATTGAGAAAATATTATTCAATATACATATAAGAAACAAGAGATTATCAACAGCAAGGAAGATATATACATATACATGCGTATACACTGAGAAAAAAAAATACTTTTACTCAATTAACAATTTCTTGGTTTAAGAAATTTGCTGACGATCAAATCGGCTGCCCAATTTTAAAATTCAGTAATTGCAAAATTTTTATACCTGATTTTTTCTAATATTGCTGCATTTTTTATAACTTTTAGACCTTAATTTCAGGAATTTTTTCTTAAAAATATTTATATATTCAAGTATTTTCTATTCACAAATCAAATTTTTCATCAATTTGGCGGGCAAACTTTTTTTTAATAAAAAAAGTAATAAAAAATTTTTAAATTTCTGAAGAGAAGAACATCAATATTTATCTTTGGATAGTAGATAAACAAAAGAATAGCTTTATTTAAATTAAGTAAAAATTATTTCAATTAATTTAACAATTTCTTGACCTATTAAAAAAATATATATTCTTGAAAATTTTCAAGAAAATAAATTCTTGTAACAAGAAAATTTTCTTAATAAAAGTATTTTTTTTTTCTCAGTGTATATTTATAGAAAGTGAGATTAGTTTAAATCAGTGTGAATTATCATAATTCATAATCAAAATCATTATTAATTAAAAATAATGGTGGTACATACTTATTACGAGAAATTAAAATGAAATAAAACTAGGACTTGAGTATTAACTTTAGTCTAGGATCAATTACATGGCTAGACACAAGTACAAATAAATCTTGAGAGTGGAGAGTCGTTGACTACACTAGATTCACTACATGCTCGACCAGGTGCTGCTGCTAGTATTAAATCTTAAGATATACACAAGACAAACGTGTGCGCTCTCAGATACGTTGATACGTAACCTATAGAGCGCACGTAAAGAGAGTGCGCTCACTCTTACACCGAGTACAGCTATAAGAGATTCGGTCTCACGGTAGTACAATATCGTAAGTAACTTACGCTGAGGTTAAAGGGCACAGACCTACATATCCGCGTCGCATTCAACGGTCGCTTCTCATTCGTGCCTATCTTTTATATTTATTTCAGTTACTTCTTCAGAGTCTAGTCGAATTTTTAATATTTTTTAACATCTTGTCTTGATTTTTTCTTCTATTATAATTAAGCTCAACCTGTAACAATAAATCTAATTTTAATTCAATCGGTTCAGGGTTGCCATCAAAATTAAAACTTTAATTAATATGATTAATGTGAGTAGAAGATAAAAATACTTGGATTAGTGGCAGTGTTAGTAGCACAGGTGCAAAAGAAGAAAATAAGATAGCAAGAGTGCCGAAAATAGAAATGCTCTTGTCTAATTTGTACATCAGGCAAAGAAGCGATAGGTAGAGAAGAGAGCTTTGTTAACTCGGTGCCTTACTGTATTGTGCACACTCTTCTCTATATTCTTACAAGCTGTAAGTTACTTTACTTCTTATCACTTTTATTTACTTAACTTGGAGTCATGTCATGGCAATTCAGCGGAACGGAATAGCGAACCAACCATCAGTCGAAGGCTGGCTACACGTGCGCAGGCACGTGGAGAGGCGTGGCTTTAGATGTATATAAACTTGTGGAAGGGAATAAAAGCAATCCAGTGACGAGATGTAATGTTGCTCTGATGATGTCTGGTAGTAATCTATTTGTTCTATGTTTCAACGCCATACGCTTAACTGGAGTTATCTACTACTTAATCAAGTCGCACTTTCATTGGCTCTTCTACTGATTTTATATGATAGCCCAGTCTCAAGTTCTGTAATGCACACAAACAATACAAGATATATCTATACTATTTATATTCTACAGATCATAAATATTCGTCACACCTTGTAAATCAAATACTGTAAAAAACACAATAGGGAAATTAAATTGACGGTCTTTATAATCCGTGACTATCTTGATTTGCTAGCGTCATAATTGATGAAGGGCTTGTTTTTTTTTTTTTTTTTTTTTTTTATTTGTGTAGGGATGTAGATTAAATTTCATTTTCTTCCCTGTACATTATGAATATATTAAATTTCTTCTACACAGAAAAAAAAATTAACTTGAATGAAAAAAAAAATTCTTGATCCAAGAAAATAATTTTGAAAAGTTTCATTGTCTTGAATCAAGACGAAAAATTCTTGACTCAAGTAAAATTTACTTAAACCAAGAAAAATTTCTTAGTTTAAGAATTTTTCTACTCAAATAAAGAAAATGAAATTCTTCAAAATTATTTACTTGATTCAAGTGAATTTTTTTTTCTGTGTATGATTTTGTTCATCCATAAATCACATTCACTATCATCATCATCATCATCATCACCTGCATATAACTAGAAGAGTGAAGCTTCCTCTCAGGTATAACATTTAATTAAAGTAAAATAATTAAGTCCCATATTTACGTAACACCCTCTACGTATCATCATTCGAAGATCGACGGGCATCAATTGTGTTTTTTCAGATAAATTCACCGGGCTGGTATTCATCAATGCTTTGCTACTGAAATGATTTGGCGAGTTGCAAAAGTATATATACACACCAAAAAAGCTTGCATTTGTGCTTAAAAATGAGGATAATGAAGACGTGGGGGGATGGTCTTCTATTTCCTGCAAGAACATCAGCATCGCAGTTTACAAGTAGAATATATTTCAAATGCCAATGATTTCATGTTTCCCTTGAGATAATACACACTGCAAGGGTTGCTAAGTGGGATCGCTTTTATATAGATGTGACGAGGACACCGAGGACTTCAGTTCATGTTGGCATTTAGTCATATCAACGACTGTTAGTGTCAACCAAAACTTTCTTGTCAAATATAGTGTAAATCAATGTATCAATTATCAATAATTCATTTTAAACAATTGAAGAGAGTCACAGTTAAGATATTAAAAGTTGAATTCAGTTACTGTGGAAATTACTGCAAAGTGATCATCAATATGATCATAATTATTAGACAGTAAAAATTTCATGGCATTACTTATCAATATATCGGACGATTGCATAGAAAATTATTTAAATTATAATTTTTGTCGATATTTTTTGGCACAGTTAACTATTATAGAACTAGACTAGTGAGTTTTCAATTATAGATGTAATTTTAAAGTTTACCTTAGATTTTTTAGTTGGTTAAATTATTGATGCTATAAGTATATATTATCAGTCGTGAGAAAGAATCAATAGAATAAAACTGTCTTATACACGATCCAGCAGTAGGCATAGAACAAGACCGCTAGCTTATTCGACGTTATGATCGACATGGACCGTACGCAGTACGATAAATACTATATCGATCAGTGTACGTATGCAATGTTAAGTAAAAATGCGTTTCGTCGATTCTTTACTAGTTTCCTCTTTGTCGCTCTACTGAAGATCAATCATTACTATCACTTCATTTCTTCTATGCACCTGTAACAAATGTACTTTTTTATTTCTTAGATTGTCTACTTAGTTGATTGATGGATTGTATTATACTAATTTACTTACTTACATTAATTTACTTTACCTAATTATCTTTTTATTTATTTATTTATTCGATCAACTGGCTGATTGAATAAATAATTTATTTCTATAAAAATAAATAAAATCAATAATACGTAATAATAAAAGCGTACTCGTGTATGATCAACAGGGCAGCTTCATACGCAAAGCGGCGGAGACGATTGTGATAAAGAATATACCGGTCATCAATTGCCGGTGGATATATCTAGTGAACAAAACCAACACCACCATCAGCGTACATCATCATCATCATCATCCACAGAATTAATTTGCACAGATCGTGGTTCTGCTACCACTGCAATCACAACGGCTTCCACAACGACTACTGGCACTGCATTCACAGTTGCATCAAGTATGCTTCTGCTACAAACACAGGTAATTTTTATTTTTCACTATTCGTTATTTCTAAAAAATAATTAATTGGTGTGAAGATAACTTCAACGACATATCAAAAATTAATTGTTTATTATTTATTATTTATTTTACACAGAAAAAAATTTATTTGAATTAAGGAAATATATTTGAAGAATTTCATCTTCTTGATTTAAGTAAATTTTCCTTGATTCAAGAATTTTTCGTCTTGATTCAAGTTAATTTTTTTTTTTTTTTTTTTTTTTTTTTTAGTGTAGTTATTAATAAAAATAATCAATCACTAGTTCTTAAAATCAGCCTAGTTTTATTATTATTTATTTTCATATTTTTAATTTTGTTATTCTTATTATATTTTATAAATATATTAATATCAATGATAGTTTTAATAATGAAATAAATAAAAAGTAATATCTATCTATAATATATAGAGACAATACTAGATACAAGCTATAAAACCTAGTTATTGTAAAGAATGAGGTCTCTAAGGAGCAATGAATTAAATGTCAAACCATCGAATAGAATGCCCACCCTTCTTTCTTTCTTTCTTTTCTTCTTTATTTTTCATATATGCTTTTAACCATTTATTGCTCGTTTATCCTGTCGTCTAGTTGTCATAACAGTAATGTATCATTCTCAGCATATACAACAAGTAGAAAGTAATACATTGACAGGCGTCTATAATAAATGAGGCTTTCCTTTTGAACATTGCAGAGCCCATTTGGCTGCAGCAGTTTTGCTGATTTTCTCAGTGCACCTTACACTGATCCTACGGATACAGGAAGTCTCACTGAAGAGTTAGAGCCCTTTCCAGAATTACAGTTAGGCAATTCTCAGCCTGTAACAGCAACGCAAGACGATATCACCCAATCAAATCTTCACCATCAAATGCAATCTCGATCGCTACCTGGAGATCTACAAACAGATTCATTGAGGTGAATTTCATAACATCTTGGTCTTCGGTTATTTATTTTTAGATTTTTTAGTATCGTTACTTTCAAAGATGTTTTACCTTTATTTAGTTTAAATTTAGTATATACTTACGTATTATTACGGATATTTAATAAATAACAGCCCAACTCCACTACCCAGTTTCCAAGAGACGTACACTGCTCATCAACGCTACACACGCCAGGAACTTCAGAGTCTGGACATCAAGATGGACGACGAGTGCTTTGACGCTCTTCAGTATGCTTGCGCAGATACTCCTTATACTCCTGAGTTTGCCGCAGCTATTCCATATCATCCGCAACAACAGCCCCAACCCCAGCCCCAGCATCATCACCATCACCATCACCATCATCAACACCAACAACAGCAGCAGCAACAGCAGTCCCAGCAGCATCATCAGCAACATCCAATGATGCATCATCATCAGCAGCAACTTCCTCATCAGCATCAACACCACCATCGTCAGGAAAATCATCATCACCAAAATGTAACTAAACATAAATTATTAAATATATTATTCTATTACTGTGTTAAATAAAAATTTAATTAATTCAAAACTGTAATTTTATTAATAGTAATATTATTATTTAATGAAAATAGATTCCACCAACGCTGACACCACCTCCAGTAGCAGTGCCAATTCAATCAGTAACAGCAATGGCTAATTCACCATCTCCACCATCACCGTCACAGCCAACTCCTCCACCTCCTCCACCTCCACCACCACCACCAGGATACTTCTCAGCGATAACGTCGAATCACAGTGCCACAATGCAGTCAGCTGGAAATTTGCACCAGAGAGACTTGTCCGGTGCTTTCACAAATGTACCTATGGCGGCCTACGGGCAAGGAAATATCATGAGTGTATCACCGGTTTCGATGACATCCAACGTTACCGGATCAAATGTTCATATTGGATCGACACGTTCTCGAGCACCAATGCTCCAAAGATCAGACTCTACCAGTAGTGGTAGCAATCAAGAGTCCCCCAAATCATGTCCGAGCACATCTAGCAATGTTAATTCAACTCCCTCACCCAGTAGTAATGAACGGGCGCCACAGAGTCCAAGCCAATTATGTGCTGTTTGTGGTGACACTGCTGCTTGTCAGCATTACGGAGTCCGTACCTGTGAAGGTTGCAAGGGATTTTTCAAAAGAACTGTACAAAAGGGATCCAAATATGTTTGTTTGGCTGAAAAATCGTGTCCTGTCGACAAACGACGTCGCAATCGATGCCAATTCTGTCGGTTTCAAAAGTGTCTGATGGTCGGAATGGTCAAAGAGGTTTGTATCATCTTCAATGGTATATAATTTTATTTATTAAAATTAAATTATCTTTTCACGAAGAAAAAGTACTTATTAAGTTGGTAATAATTTATTTTTAGGTTGTCAGAACAGATTCTTTAAAAGGTCGACGAGGAAGACTTCCTTCAAAACCAAAATCACCACAAGAATCACCTCCAAGTCCGCCCGTTACTCTAATTACTGCATTAGTACGAGCTCACGTTGACACAACCCCTGATGTTGCTAATTTAGATTACTCTCAGTACCATGAACCTGGCGTACCTGCACCTTTGGTAACAGATGCTGAAAAAGTTCAACAGTTTTATAATTTACTTGCGACGTCCATTGATGTTATTCACAACTTCGCTGAAAAAATTCCTGGATTTACGGATCTATTAAAAGAAGATCAAGTAAATTATTTTTTTTTTTTTTTGTCTAATTAATTTAACTTATATATGTTCAACTAAATGAATCTCACTCATGATGATAAATTTTTGTTTTGTTTTAGGAATTACTCTTCCAATCAGCGAGCTTAGAACTTTTCATCCTCAGGTTAGCTTATCGTACAAGAGTCAGTGATAATACTTTAACATTTTGCAACGGAGTTGTGCTATCACGAACACAATGTTACCGGTGTTTCGACGAATGGCTATTCAATATCTTGAAATTCTGTCATGTTCTCCATAGTGTAGAAATTGATGTCAGTGCATTCGCATGTCTTTGTGCCCTCACACTCGTTACAGGTAAAATAATAATAATAATAATCAATAATAAGCATCAATCACTTTCATCAAATCAAGAGTACTTGATTTCTTATTTATTATTTTATTATCTTCTCTTTAGTTCTTACGTGCTTTGATTTATATTTTTATTCTTTTTTTTTTTTATGAATAATTTACTTACTCTTTGGTCAATTACGTATTGACGTCGATGCATGCACCTGTTTCTCGACTTTGAAATTGTCGATGTTATCACGCGATTACTGATCGATCCAAGTTCATTCGCCTTTATCTACTTAAAATATTGTTTGTTTTTTTTTTTTTTTTTTTTTTTTTATAATAATTACGATTTTACTATTTTTTCTGTATAATTTTAATTTAATAACTGATTATTATTATTAATTATAGATCGGTATGGTTTGAAAGAACCACAACGAGTAGAAGATTTACAAATGAGAATAGTATCATCACTTCGTGATCACGTAACTTACAATTCAGAAGCCCAGAGAAAGACTCAGTACCTGTCACATTTATTAAGTAAACTCCCAGATTTAAGAAGTCTTGCTGCACAAGGTCTTCAGCGAATTTTTTACCTCAAGGTGGAGAATCTTGCACCGATGCCACCTCTTATTGAATCTTTATTCGTTAATAGCATTCCCTATTAAAGAAATAAATAATTCATTAACTGCAGCTATATTATTTAATGATTATTATTTCATTAATAATATTCTTAAAAATCTTTAATGATAAACATTTTTACATAATATAATTTTATAAAAAATATAAAATCTAAACAATTAAAAAAAGTTCCTAATCTACAGAATAATTGTTTATTTTGATAAAATTATTGAGATACTAATCTTGATAATATTTTTCATATTAAAAATATTTATCCATTAAAGTTTTATTAATATTTTTAATGAAATACTATTCACTAATAATTATATTATAACTATAATATAAAATAATTAAAAAAAAAAAAAAATTAATAATAAAACACACGCCTTACTCTAATGATAAGCTCCTCTCACGTACCCAAAAGAAAAGTAATTATTATATTGATAAATAATTATTAACGTGAGAAGTATGAAATTATTTATATAAACATATCAGGATAACGAGTTGGTCGGTTATGACAAATAATCTATTTTGCGATGGATATTTTTTTCATCTTTCTCACGATTTAATATGTATTTAATAAAACCCCCTTTGATGTTTTATATAAAGTATAAATATAATTAAATAAATATATTCACAACGAGGCACGGATGACAAATATTATATTAATAATCGTTGAGTGAGATATTAAGCGAAAAATATGATAATTATCAATTATTAATAGTATTAATTATAATAATTAAATAAGAATATTATTAATTATTCAAATCGACCCTTCAAGCAGTCCTTATACATTTATGTCTATGTGATTTTAGTAATTTAAGACTTATTAAAATAATCATAGTGTCGTCTTGTTTTATAATTTATCAGATTTTATATAAGTAAAAGAAAAATCAATTGTGTAAGTTAATTGTAATAAATAATGAATAACATAATAAAGACCGTGGTGATAAATTTTTAGAAAAAAAATAAAATTAATAAAAAAAAAATTCAAGACGGCACTGAATAAAGTTACCCTTTATTTTATGATATTAATTTTAATGAAAACTAACGTAACAAAGACGAGTGGATATAAAAAAAAAGTAACTGTCTTTATAGATATTTTACGCTATTGTTTATAAATGTTTATATAATTGTTATTATTCATTTATTATGTTAATTAATTAATTATTATATGTCTTTTGTTTCTACTAACAATCTGTCCACAGATTGCAAGTTACTTTCATCTACAGGAATGATTGCTATTATTATTCATACAAAATAATATTAAAAAAAAGGAAAATAAGAAAAAAATGCCTGCGATGTGTAATAAACTTAATTAATCGTGCCTCTTAGCGAATTTTCCTATTGTCTATTAATTGTACTTATTAGCAATGGTTCTGCGACAATTATAATAAATGTTTATAATAATGACTTTCAAATAATATCTTTTATTACATTTTCCGCTGTGATTCAAGTACAAAAGACAGCTTAGATATCAAGTATAAGTATACAAAAAATCACATTCTTTAGCTCGTGATGTTCTAATAAGCACCCTCTTGTAGAGTTGTTTGTGTATTGATTTCGAATTTATTAATAAATAATAAAATTATACAGTGAAAAAATATTTTCATTAATTATGAACTAAGTAATAATATACATAATAAATTATTTTTAAAATATTATGATCATTATTATTAAATGGCAATTAAAAAATATTTTTTGTTTTTGTAAAATTTTGTTATCTTATTGTTTATTCTTTATCGATTCGATTTTTTTTTTTTTATTATTGACACACTAAAAAATTTTCGGTTGTTGATAATTGAAAGAAAATATTTTGCAAATAAAATATAATGAAAGAATAAAAATATTTAGGAAAAAATTTTCCGAATGTTGAAAAATTTTTATAGATTAAATAATTCGTCATGAAAATTAAATTTACTACGAGGGTGTTGTCAAATTTTGAGATTAAGGAAAAACTGATTTTTTTTCGTATTTCTTGTAATATTTTTTTTTTTTTTAATATAAACCTAAATGGCCTCAAAGTTAAATAATTTATTTATATAAAAATATACATTATTATTATACATATATGCATAATTATTATTATATGCTTACAATTGGCCAGTGAATGACGTATGCAATAATTTTTACGAATTTATCGAGAGCAAGAGAATGTGTTTGATAATAAGAAGTCTCTATTATTAAATCTAAAATAAATGAGTAGATTTTTTTTAATATTTAGGTTTTTCAAAAGCACGTCCATCGTTATGAACTTTTTTATAACATGCTGTCAATGCACATTTTAAAAATAAGAAGTTAATTTTTGTCTGGATTTATGATTATTTGTAGTTAATTTTTGAAAATATATATTCATTGTAATTATTAAATAAATTATGTTATTATTACGATTGATAAAAAATGATTATATATTATATGTTAGATATAAGAATATGTTATTATTATTATTATTATTATTATTATTATTATTATTATTATTATTATTAGTTGAATAAATTTATAAAAAAGATGAAATCACTTTGTAGATTAATATGGTCCATGAGCTTTGTAAAATAGATTAAGAAAAGCAACAAAATAAATACTTAAATTTTTTTGTTCTTATTGATAATAATAATGATAATAAAAATTAATAATTATAATATATCAATATAAATTGTAATACCACTCACATTCATAAAAAAATTATTGTCTATACAAAACCATGCACAATCCCTATTTTCGAAAAAAATATATGTAATCTTTTATGAATTATTAACAAAAAGTGTCCCAATTATTTATAACATTGATTTTCAAAACTTAATACGGTGATTGTTATAAATATATTTTATAGAAAAAACTAAAATAAAATATGTGATATATAAGTAATAAGATATAAATATGCGAACAATGCTCGTTACAATGCTTATCAAAAAAACATGTATTCTCATACATTGTTTCATTAAATTGATGAAAAAATTAATAAATATCTTTTTCTTTAATTAAATACCCAAATAATTTAAAGAAAAAAATACAGTCCTAAAACATTATTGATAAAATAAAATTTTTCTTTTAATTAATGATACTAAAATTAAAAGACTTCTGGCAATTTTTGGAATCTTTATAATGAAAAAATTTTTTAAAAATTTTCTTTGCTAAATATTTTTCATTATAATTTAATTGTTATAAAAATCTAAAAAATTGTTAAATGTCTGTTAAATTCAGTATAATTTCAATTAAGCATAATTTTTAATTTGTATTTTCCCGGTCATAGAAAAAAAAAGATTACTCAGCGCTTCGGGTTGCGGATTCTAAACTCATCACGAGCTTCCACCATTCGCGGTTTTTATGTACGCATGCGTGTAGCGTAACAAAATAGTTCCTAAAAAAGATATTTAAGTTAACATATTTCTAAAAATACACACATTAAAATTAAAAAAACGAATTGAATTTATTAAAAAGTAATACTCACTAATTTTTTATGGAATTACTTTTATAAAAGGTAATGAAATAATTGGAACAAATATCAAGGAAGTATTGGCTTGAAGTTGTAGTACTCATCAGAAACTGGTTCGATGATAAAATCCCGCGTCCATATTTCTTTGGTCAGTGTGAGCGCCACCGCGAGATTACAGGTCAATAAAGTGGAAAGATGAATAGTCGTGAGAGCTAAACAAAGATAAGTATAGAGCGATTGTAGCGACATATTAAAACGCGGATATAATTGAAGATATTTTTGTCCGTTGGGTAGAGCTTGACTACCTAAAATTCCTGATATAATCAGGAAGTTAATGGAGGGGATCTGGTAGTCGTGCGTCTTGAGAGGAGGTTTTATAGTTGGTGACTACATGTGGATATCCGCCGGTCGCATTTATTCGTTTCTATGCGTTAAATAAAGACGGCATCAACTTGAATTGTTCTGCGTTTTATTATTATTATTGCCTATATTGCACCATCAAATCACTATTTTGTGGTATTACTCAAGTTTATAAATAATTAAATTGCAAATATTTAAATAAAAACGGGTGGTGAAAGATGCAAATGGATCAGATGACGGTGCAGCTGATACAGGTCCTAGAGAAGACCGTATCACAAGGTGAGGCATCATTTTCATTTGATACATCCACATCCAACCTTATTTTTTTACACAACCTAGAAATTGCCAGAATCCTTCGGGTGCTCAACTTCTTAAATTTTAACCAACAGCATCATTTTACTATTATTATTATTATTATTATTATTATTATTATTATTAATTATATATCTATATATATTTTTTTAAATATTTATTTTATAAGAAATAATGATGATTTATTATCAATTGTATTATCTTCAAGGACATGTGCTTTGATATTAAGAGTAGTAGCATTCATATTTTTTTCTCGTAAATCATGCGTCACTCCGTGATGCAAACCATTGCACTTTTTGACATGAAAACGTGGGATGAGAATCGTGTAAATAAATTGTCCCAAAAATATCTCCTTATTTATTATTATTAATTATTATTATCAATAACTGCAAGTGGATTTTAATATGAAGGTTAATTTTTTTTTTTTCTCTTTAAAATTCAAAAAAATTTATCTCGCGTGCCTGTTGCTAGGGGCATAAAAAATAATCCGTTAATATATTTCCGTAGATATTTAAACGTTATCTTTCTCACTATTAACTCTTAACTTTTTTTAATTCTTTTTTATTATTTTTTTTTTTTAATTGAATTTTAGATAAAAATGAGCTGGAAGCAGCGCAACATTTTTTGGAGCAAGCTGCTGCTACAAATATTGTGAGTATAATTATTTATTTTTATATTAATTAAAATTGAAATAATATCAATACTAAATATAAATTATTTATTTAGCATGAGTTTGTACAAAGACTCAGTGGAGTCCTGGGTACTCCGGCTGCCAGCCCGGTAGCACGTATGGCTGCTGGTCTTCAATTAAAGAACCAGCTTACATCCAAAGATCCAACCCTAAAATCACAATATCAACAAAGATGGCTCACTATTCCTGCTGAGACACGGGAATTTATCAAAAAAAATGTGAGCTTTTTTAAACATATAAATTTTTGTTTTCATGTTAATTTATTTTTATTGTAATGATTTTTTTACTCAATTTTAGATTGTAGGAGCATTGGGAACTGAAAATAATCGACCAAGTTCAGCAGCACAATGTGTAGCTTATGTAGCAGTTGCAGAATTACCCGTTGGTCAGTGGACCGATTTGATTGCGCTGTTGGTGAACAATATTGCCGATCAAAATGGTACCGAGATGATGAAAGAAGCAACACTGGAAGCTATCGGTTATATATGTCAAGAAATTGATAGTGAGGTTTTGGTATCTCAGTCAAATCAGATTCTTACGGCCATTATTCACGGTATGAGAGGCTCTAGTACCTCAAATAATGTGAAGTTAGCAGCTACACGAGCTCTTTACAATTCTCTTGAATTTACCAAGGGTAATTTTGAGATTGAGGTAAATTAATTATTCCTTTAATGTAATAATCGTTAATAATGAAAATTAAGTTAGCCGACGTTTAAAAATTTTTAGACGTTCTTTTTATTAAAAAAAGTTATTGCAAAAAAATAAAAAAAAAAAAAAATTCATTTGTTGAAAACTTGAAAAACTACAAGTGCAATTTTTTAGAAATATTTTTTTAATTGTAATTTAATTAAAAAAAAAAAAAAAAAATCAAAAATTTTTAGACGTCTGTTAACTGCAGTGTCATTCGTTAATATAACTTGAAAAAATAAATATTTAAATTATTTTTTCTTAGACTGAACGAAATTTTATTATGGAAGTCGTGTGTGAAACAACGCAATCAACTCACACGCAAATACGAGTAGCAGCTCTCCAGTGCCTTGTCAAGATCATGTCACTGTATTACCAATTTATGGAGCCTTATATGGGCCCTGCATTATTTCCTGTAAGTATTTAGATAAGAAAATAAAAATTATGTTCGCTGATAATACAATTACTCATGATAAATAAATATTTTTATTACAGATAACACTTGAAGCTATGAAGTCAGACTCTGACGAGGTGGCACTCCAGGGAATTGAATTCTGGTCAAACGTTGCTGAGGAAGAGGTTGATTTATCAATGGAAGAGGGTGAAGCGTCGGAAGGAGGTAGACCACCATCAAAAGTATCCCGGCACTACGCTAAAGGTGCTCTGATGTTTTTGGTCCCGGTATTGATCCAAAAGCTCACAAAGCAAGAAGAATTTGACGACGAAGACGATTGGAATCCATCAAAATCTGCTGGTGTTTGTCTAATGCTTTTAGCTTCTTGCTGTGAAGAAAATATAGTACCTCACGTTCTTCCGTTCGTTACTGAAAATATTAAAAATCCAGATTGGAGATTTAGGGACGCCGCATTGATGGCATTTGGTTCGATTCTTGGTGGATTAGAGCCATCAACATTGAAGCCACTTGTTGAACAAGCAATGCCAACTCTTATTGAATTAATGTACGATGTCAGCGTTGTAGTGAGAGATACAGCTGCCTGGACATTCGGTAGAATTTGTGAAATAATTCCTGAAGCGGCTATCAATGAAACTTATTTGAAGCCGTTGTTGGAGTCACTTGCTAATGGTCTACATGCTGAACCGCGAGTTGCTGCGAATGTTTGTTGGGCGTTCACTGGTTTGGCTGAAGCTAGTTACGAAGCAGCTGAAATTGAAAGTGGACAGCAGCCTGAAACCTATTGTATGTCTGCATTCTTTGATTACATTGTACAGAAACTTTTAGAAACAACAGATCGTCCAGACGGTTCGCAGGCGAACTTACGATCTGCTGCATACGAAGCTCTAATGGAAATGGTCAAGAATTCACCTAGAGATTGCTATGTAACTGTTCAAAAAACAACAATGGTTATTTTGGAGCGATTACAGCAAGTATTACAAATGGAGATACATATTCAGAATCATTCAGACCGCGCTCAGTATCATGATCTCCAGTCGCTTCTCTGTGCTACTCTGCAATCTGTATTAAGAAGAGTAACACCAGAAGATGCGCCACGAATTTCCGACGCCATCATGACTGCACTTTTATCGATGTTCAGCTCGAACTCCGGTAAAGTTGGTGGAGTCCAAGAAGATGCATTGATGGCTGTGTCGACCTTAGTTGAGCAACTTGGTGAAGGTTTCTTGAAATATATGGACGCATTCAAACCGTTCCTCTGTATGGGCTTGAAGAATCACGCCGAGTATCAAGTATGCGGTGCTGCTGTTGGACTTACCGGTGACATTTGTCGCGCTCTTAAGAGCAAAGTATTACCTTACTGCGATGATATTATTACATTGTTGCTAGAAAATCTCAGGAATAACACAGTCCATCGCTCAGTTAAACCACAAATTCTTTCAGTCTTTGGAGATATTGCTTTGAGTATCGGCCCGGAATTTAAAAAATACTTGGAAGTTGTTTTGCAAACACTGGTTGAAGCCTCTCAAACAGATGTCGATCGTAACGATTACGACATGATTGATTACCTCAATGAGTTACGTGTTGGTGTTCTTGAAGCTTACACCGGAATCATTCAAGGTTTCCGTGGTGATGCTGATGCTAATCCAGACACTCCGAATCCTGATGTTCTTCTCATAGAACCTCAGGTACCTTTTATCATTCAATTTATCACGACAATTGCTCAAGATCGTGAACACTTGGATGAAAGTATGTCGTCAGCAATTGGTTTGCTCGGTGATCTTGTAACTGTATTTGGCGCAAAACTTCTACCCCTGGTTGAAACTGAACCACTTACTGAGCTGCTTATTAAAGGTAGACGAGCACGTAATAGTAAAGCACGGGCTCTTGCTATTTGGGTCACTAAAGAGATTCGCAAGCGCAAAAATGCTGTTAATTCTACGTCAAGTTGGTAAGTCATTATTTTGTCATAAAATTTAATTATTTATTTATTTTTTTTTTTATAATGCTGATATGATTATGATTATGATGATGATGATGATGATTCATGTGACTATGTGAAAGAGAGTGAACGTTGTTGAATATTCTTCTGTTCATTTTTGATGCATTAATTATTGTTGTTAAACTTTTTTAATTATCTGAAGGATACTTACAAGTTAGTTAAGAAACTTTTTAATATATTTCACGTGATTTTTTTTGCTCTCAATGTCGACAAATTCGTGATTTCATTAAAAATGATAACGTTATTTTGTATATTGTGATAATAGACGAAGGCTATTGTCGGTAGAAACAAAAAAATTATTTATTTTGTTTTTTTTTTTTTTTTTTTCTTAATTAATAGTTAATTATATTTGGCCCGCTTTTGTTGTTTGCAGATCGCCCCATGATTGTACTGTCGTGCGAATTGATTTGACTAGAAAGCTATCGAACACAATACAAAGACAACAAGATTGGATGGTGCGGATGCGAGTAGATGGATGTGCGTGAGTTCCAATGATTAAAATTAAAAAAAAAAAAAAATACAAAAAAAAATTAAAAATTAATAAGTGATGATAAGGATGTCAATGACAAAATGATGAAGGGTATATGATGATAATGAGTCTGCACGTGTTCTTCCTGGCGTTGACGCTACTATCCCCCGGTATGTGTACGTCAAGATCAATCCATAATAGAACGACTGGAATTAGTTAACACTGAAAATAAACGATGTAATAGCCGGGTAAGCTGCGTCCGTCAGATTTGGATGGTCGACGAAGGATGAAGGAAGAGTGCAAGTGGACATGTTGCCAAATAATGAATGTGAAAACAAGAGACGTCTGTTTAAAAGGTCTGGTGATAAGAGTGTGCCTGATGTTTATAATGTTAAAATAAATGAAAGAAAACAAATGGATAAAGTAAAAGTACAGTACTAATCACACTGCTTGGTGTCACGGTGCCATGTAGTTTGATTGTAAGCGTGTGGTAGTTGTGAATAAATTTTTAGCGTGTGATAATAGAATTGAATATATCAATTTATGAATGTTTACGATGTAAGATTGTTTTACAATGCGATACTTTTCAACACATAATTATTACTATTATTATTAATACTATTATTACTATTACTATTATTAATATTATTATCATTATCATTATTATTATTATTAATATTATTGCTATTATTAATATTATCATTATTATTAAATAATAAGAGTAAATTAATAATTATTAACGATGTCAGTAAATATATATAAATAGATATATTTTTTTTAATCATTATTAATAGGCTTATGTGAAAAATATTGTTCATTTGTCAATTGAATAACCGCTCTGATTTCAAATGTATTTTTTTTTTTTTTGGTTATAAATTTATATATAGATATATAAAAAAAAATAATAATAATACAACAATCGCATTGAGTGCGCTAGAAACGAATGAATTTATATTAATTGGATGAATAAGAATGATTTAATGTATGTACTTTGAATATAAGTGGAATGAATGTGAAAAAAAAATTTACAATAAATATAATGATGATAATAAAATGAAAACTATAAAAATAAAAAATAAAAAAAAAATAACAGAGTGAATGGAACACGTGCGTTTGTAAGTAAGGATTATTGAATGTAGATGTAAATGTTTTTTGTGAGTATGGTATGTTATGACTCTTGCGTATCTTGGATGTCTGTTCAACTGTTGATTCATTAAAATTAATCTTTTTTTCTGAAATAATTTATTGAATTTTGCATAACAAAAAAAAAGAAACAAAACTAATCGTGTCTTCAATCCTTAATAATCGGAGTTTCTTTTTTTTTTTAATGTTTTGTTTATTTTTTTTTATACCTCGACTAACTTCCACTAATCCTTTTATTTCCTCACTTTATTTTTTTTATAACTTGTACATAATTAATATTCTTAATATATTACGCCGCTTATTGATTAGTTCTTTTTTTTTCTTTCAATTAAATTTATTATTTTAAATTATTAAATTACTCTTTTTGATGATCAACTTGATGTTGTGTTGATGCTTATGATACTTTATGTAATAAAAATATTTTCTAAAGCCACAAGAAATATTAATTGAAAATTTTTTTTTACACATTAAAATTAAAACCATTTAATTTAAAATAATACTTTTCATTAAGAAAATAGTTATGGTTTTTATCGTCAGTATAATTTCTTGAAATTATATAAATAAATCAAATAGACGTTTAATTAAGTTTCAAGTGTATCAACAAGAACATCAGTAATAATTGAAGCTTATGGATTCAATTAAATAACGGTATGAAAATTTCGTGACAATCGCGCGTGGACTCAACGAAAGTACCTTTATATTGAATAAATGAGCTAGTGATATTTATGAATAATGATATAAGTGTAAACTTGATAGAGAGAAAGAGACTGCGTGTCTGTGCGTGCTAGTATCAGCTGGCAACTAAAACGCATAGTGGAGTAACAAGAAATAAAATAATTCAAAACATACAAAAAAGATTCTCTTTGCAATTTTTTTAAGTCAAATTAAATTTTGTATACTCAATTTATATAAAAGAAACAAAAAACATCAATCGTGGGTATTAAATATGAAAAAAATTACAAACAAAAATTTTTTAAAGAGTCCACTAAGATGATACAGATCAATTGATCGGCAATAAATAAAAATTATTGCGACATTTGTACATTTTACTATATATTTTTTTGTGCCAGATGATAATTAAATGAAAAAACGTAAAAAGTGAAAGTAATTTTTTGAATGAAATGAAGACAGATAGTTGATAGAAAAAAGAATGAAGAAGCATGAGAAAAAGATTAAGAGAACGAGAGTGATAAATAAGTGTGATAAATGATGATAATAATAATTAAAAATGACAAAATATATAAATCAGTTTTTTAATTAATAAATTACGAATGCTTGCGTATCGTTCGATTCATAAATAAATGATGTACCTGTGGAATTTAACAATTGTTTGTCAAAAACAAAGAATGGTAAGAAGAGAAGAAACGTTTTTGGAATAAATGAGGGTGCTGTCTAAGAACGATATTTATCTATCTGTCTATCTATCTATAAAATCCAAATAACTAAGTCTGATGAAGAAAAAAAGCTATTAAATTTTTATTCGGTATAATGATAGTAATTATTTAGTAATAATAATTATAATAATAATATATAATAATGAGCTTTGATGATATACATACGTAGAGCTTGTTCTAGTAGTAGATATATTAATTAAGTTATATATAGGTGAAAATAATGATAGTGCATTTAATCAATTTAAATGCCTGATTTATCCTCATCTACGCGAAGTCCCATGTAACTAGTGACATACTCTGTGTCACTGGTGTCCTCAATCCTCTTCTAAGTACCCTTAACCCAATTGAATTACCCCCAACAACTTGGGGGATCACTTATCGTCATCATTCATTCCCCAGATTTTTTAACATTGCTAACTTATTACCACTAGTGTCAGATCTTTTCAGTGGTACAAGTTGAAGATTCAAGTGTTGATAAATCCTAATTAACATCATCAATATTACATTTTTTTTATATCTGTTAAGAATAATAATTATTTGAATAATTAGTGTCCTTGACCGTATCGTCGTAAATTAATAAGTGCATCATCATTAGACTTAACGATGCAGCGACTCACGTGACACCCTTGTACGGCATCTTTATTGCTTAGCCACTTTTATAAAACCGTGTTAAGATCATCGTGCGAGTATGTATGGATCTGATGATAATCCATCATCTTCAACGGGTGCTGAAAATAAGCCCAAAAAACCAAGTGATGATGATGTAAGTGGTGCTATCATTAATGCTCTTCACAATCGGTGTGTGGGTGTATTCATTATATACGCACTGATATAATGATCTCGAAGTTAGCGGGCATTTAATATATTATAAATCTAAAATTAAAAAAAAGCTTTTTTTTTACTTAGTTTGAAGAACATTACTTTGTTTGTTTGTTCGAGGATTTTTACACTAAAAATTTAGAATGACAAAAATTTTAACTTGGATCAAAAGAATAAATATTAAATCAAGAATTCCATTTTGAAGAAAATGATTTTCTTGAGTCAAAAAAAAAAAATGAATCTTGAGCCAAGAAATTATTTTGGGTTTAACTAAATTTTTTTTAGTTTGCTTAGAATAATTATTTCCTTTAAAATGGAATTCTTGTTTCAAAATTTTTTTTCTTCAATTAAGTTAACTTTTTTATGAATGTGCGGAAAAATTTTAATTCAAAAGAAAAAAATGATAAAATTTTCAAATTTTTATATGATAATTTTTTAATTATAATTTTTAGAGTTGATAAGTATCCACACGGATAGAAACGCTAGCTTGACTCAAGAAAAAAAATTTATAATAAGGAAAAGAAATAAATTTCTTGAGTCAAGAGAAAAAATTATTGAGCTAAGATAAAATTCTTGGTTTAAAAAAAAACATTTTTTGCCTCAAGAACTTTTTCTCTCGTCCCAAGAAATTTATTATTTTCGTTGTAGTAGTCTTGGTTCAAGAATTTTTGTCTTGATTCAAGCGAACTTTTCTACCAGTGCGACATTTCATATAATAATAATTTAATGAATCTTTGCAAAAAAATTTCTCTGGAACAAAGTCAACACACATTTTTTAAATTTTGAAACAAAAACTATCCGCTAACTGGAAGGTCTCATTGAAAAATAACAAATTATAAAAATTAATTAGGATTCATTTGATCTTGATGATTTATTGCCAATTGTCGGAGAGTTCGGTCGCTATCAAAAGAAGTTACTCTGGTTGGTTTGTTTACCGGCATGTCTTCCCTGCGGTTTTTGTGCCTTTAACCAGCTATTTATGGCCTCAACACCAGCTCACTGGTGTAGAGTGCCAGGTCTTGATGCTCTGGATCCATCACGTCGGCGAAGACTCGCGATACCGGCTACTCATCAGGTGCAGAGTACTCAAAGACAATTAAAGTTGTTTTTGTTGATAATTATAACTAATATTTTGAATTAGCCAGGCATATATTATCCAGTCGTAGATTAATACTAATTTTCCCGTAGGTATTTATCTGTATCAATAACCATTGTATATTATTAATTGAGAATAATTATAATTGAAAATGTTATTATCATTATACAGCTAATATTAATATCATATGATTATATGTAATAATTTATAAATAATTTGCGGCATTGAGAGTAAGCACTTACGCTTGTCTAGAATGAACGCCCTGCTGTCTGTGGTATATATTTTTTAATAATAAATCCATTAGATTAATTTAGTGACACTAAGTCCTAAATTATTTGGATGACTGCAGGTGTGTAAACACTCATTTAAATGATGAAGCTGATTTTTGTCTTAGTAGGACGTCAATGAGACTGTGTACAGCCAGTGTACGAGATACGACGTCAATTGGTCTGATCCCATCTTCGATTTTATGCATATCGACAGCAACGTGACCAACACTTCATGGCCAATTGTACCCTGTGATCATGGATGGGAGTACGACATGTCTGAAATAGTATCATCTATTGTCATTGATGTATGTATAATATTAGTTAGCTGAAGTCAGCTGTTAATTTTAAAAATTTTTATTGCAAATCAATTACAACAAAAAAATTCTTCTAAAAATTTTCACCTGTGGAATTTTTTTATAATAATTTAATTGCTATAAAATTATTAAAAAAATTTTAATGTGTCAACTTCAGTGTCATATAATATTTATGATGTTGAAATCTGTAAACATCTGTTAATTTTTTTTAATTTTATAACGATTAAATTATTAAATAATTTAATTATGCAAAAAAACTCCACACGTAAAAATGTATTATTTGTAAAGAAATGTCCTCGGCAATTTACAACAGTATGTTGCATTTGCATGTGTAGAATGTTTAGTAATGATTTTATACAATAAATAGCATCTGTAAAGAGAAGATAGATTTAAGAAATTTAAAAAATTTTTTTTAATTTGAAAGAAGGGAAAAACAAAACAAGAAAAAAATGTTTAGTAATTGATAATTGGTAATTACTAATTAATAAAATATATCTGATAGTTTATAATCACTATTTGTAATCACTATTTGCTGGTCCTCTAAAAATATCAATATCAATGGCATATTTGTTGATGACTTTGCCCATTCTGTATATCGGAATTGAAAAAAAAAAAATATGACACTTGTTTTTTTATTCTTCTTGAAAAATAAAATAGATCTAAAAAATTATTTTTAAAAAATCGCACCGATAATTTGTTAGAGTTTCTAAAGATGGAATTTTTTAAATAAATTTTTCTTACTGTAATTTGTATGTTAAAAAAATTCTGAAAATAATCAAATGTCTCTTAGTTTCAGTATCATAAAAAAATTACCAGTGCGAATTTCAAAAAATATTTTTTTTTTTTTTTTTTAGATTGATTTGTTATAAAAATTAAAAAAATTTTGAAATGTCCGCTGATTTCAGTATCACATTATATTTATATAATATAAAATATATTACTTACTAATTTTTTATTTTTCACTGATTTATTTATGCTGCAGTTTGACTTGGTGTGTGATAAAGACATATATCCAACACTAGGACTAGTCGCTCTTAACACAGGAGGTCCTATTGGAGTTTATTTGTTTGGTACTTTAAATGACAGGTAATAAATTTGCTACAAATAAATTTGTTATTACGAATAATTATAAAACCAAAAAAGGATACCTCATTAAAAAGTTAATTTTTTTTGTTTGTTAGAATTGGAAGAAGACTATCTTTCTTTTCATGTCTGGCTACACTTATTACTGGAGGTATTCTTACATCAATAGCCAATAGTTTTTGGACTTGGGCTGCTTGTCGAGTGGTTGTAGGACTTACAATACCAGCTATTTATCAGATACCTTTTATTATCTGTAATTAATTTATTCTATATTGCGTTACAGATGCCATAAAGAAGTATCTAGGCTAGATATTGTTCTTAGTAAAAAAGAATTATTTCTTGTTTTTGTAAAAGTATAACTGGTTTAATAAAATAAATACTATTTTTTTACACCTTTACGGCATCTGTAACATAAGAAATTAAAATTATACATATATCAACTTGAGATATTTTTTTTTTTAATAGCTTTAGAGCTTGTTGGTCCAAATTACCGATCATTTGTCACAGTAATGACATGTTCATTTTACACAATGGGGTTGTGTATGTTAGCAGCTGTAACTTATCTAGTCCCAGAATGGAGAATTTTAGCACTTATCACAAGTACACCTTTCCTTGCTTATTTTGGGTACTGGTGGTTTTTACCTGAATCACCTCGATGGCTGTTAGCCAAAGGACGATTGAGTGAAGCAAGTGAAATTCTCCAAACTTTGGCACAAGTAAACGGCAAAGAGTTGCCAGAATCATTTACCCAAAAGCTGAAACAACGTATGACAATGTCGAGGACCAAAAGTGAAGAAGAAAGATTACGGAGCGGACCTGGTGTTTTATCGTTATTCAAAACACCAAACATGCGCTTGAAAACTTGTTTAATTACTCTCAACTGGTAAAAATTAATTTTACTATAATTTAACATTATTAATTAATTAATAATAAAAGATATGAAAATCAAATTAGCCGACATCTAAAAAATTTTTTTATTACAAAAAAAATTTTTCATTTGTGGAAAAATTGAATAACTATAAGTGCAATTTTTTAAAATTATTCTTTAGTTCCAATTTAATAAATTAAGCAAAATCAAAAAATCAAAAATATCGGCTAACTTTATAATTATATAAAATATATCAATTTTTTATTCGGTAGGTTTGCAAATAACATGGTTTACGTCGGGTTGTCTTATTATGGGCCAGCTCTTGGTAATGAAGAGCATTTGAGTTTTTTCTTTTCATCATTAGCAGAGATACCCAGTTACCTTGCGTGTTGGGTTGCTATGGATCGATGGGGTCGACGGTGGCCGTTGTGTCTTTGTATGGTCACCGCTGGAATGTCTTGTGTCGCAACAGTACTTTTACCTTCTGGTAAATATTTCTATTCCCTTATAACACCATTAATTATTTAATTAATAAATTATTTATAATTTACAGATGCTGTAATAACGACATTAATTTTATTTTTACTGTCAAAGTCCGCAATATCAGCATCTTTTTTAATAATCTATCCATTTGCCGGAGAATTATATCCAACACAATTACGTGGTGTTGCCATAGGATTTTCAGCGTACATCAGTGGTTTGGGATTAATTATAATTCCATTTATAACATACTTGGTAAGAGTTAATTGAATTAATTAAAAATTAATTAGTTAACGCTTTTTACGAGCATTAGTGAATTTATTAGAGTACATTAATTATAATAATTTATAAGAAAAAAATATTTAAAATTCAAAGGAAATGTAAACGTTTATCAACATATGACATACTAATAATTATTTCTTTCGTCATAAAAGTTTATTTGTCATTGCAGGGTAGAGAAAATTTGGTATTACCTTTAGTAATACTCGGAACAGTTTCTGTGATCGGAGGATTGTCGGGGCTAAGATTACCAGAAACACTACATCATCGACTACCTCAAACAGTGGAGGAAGGAGAGCTTTTTGGAAAGGATTGGAAATGTGCTGACTGTCTTCGCTGTGTGCCCATTAAGTAAGTAGTATGATTTTTAAATAATTTATAATAACAATTTTAAAATCTACAAGTATTCTTACAAGTGTTAATTTATGTGAATTTAATTTTTTTATTTGTTTATTAAGTTATTGATATTTTTTTTAGACCTCCTTCAGCGACGACGTCGTATGAAGATCTCTCAGCCGGTGAGACAGTTGAGCTGCAATCAGTACCACGTACATCTGTGGTTGAAGTAGATCAACAACAAGTACAACCAGTCAGAGGACCCGGTACAGCTACGCGTCGACTGATGCGACAGTCTAGTGTAATGGACACCCAGAGAGATTCTGACGGTTCCATTAAAATGACATACTGGTTTTAATTTATTAATAAGCCAAAAAAAAAAAAAAATAATAATAAACAATCACGATTTGTTTCAACTTCGGAAATACTTTCTTTCTTTGTTTTTTGTTTGTAATTAATTAGATTTACAGGTGGCTACTGAAGGACGAAAGAATGTGTTGCTCATGATAATGTGCGTGCGTTAATCGAAAAAAGTATTTATTTGTTATATTAAATCATCTTCGGCGGAGCTACAACCTCGTCGTTCGATTATAGCAACTATAAACAATAGAATTTAATTGTTTTTATTTATTGTATATTTTAAAACTATAAATTATTTGAAAAATTACCTTTCTAGAAGACGACGTTTAAGTTCTGGTGGATAAGCGACGTAAATGTAATGATCCGGCATCGCTCCGGCAGCAATCAGTCTATCTTCGTCTTCATATTTTCGTCTCTCATCTAACTGACCATCACCTCCAGGGTCATGAAGCGAACTAGATGGTCGATCTGGTCCATCATGAAAATCTGGATTGTCCTCGCTACCATCCATGCAATCATCGTCTCCCGAACTATATTTTTATTTTATTTTTAACTGCTTACAATTATAATTAATACTTATTTAATTAATAAAGTGATGAATATACCTGAGGAGAAGAGAGACGACATAATAACATGCAGATATACCAGATGAAAGTAAAAACAAAAATGTAACGAACAGGTACCAAGGAGTATGACGTTGATGGCGCTTAGTATCTTCCCAATATCTATCACAACTCAAGTACCAACAAATTGCACGATTTAACTCTCCTATTAGAATTAAAATTGTTAATTATAATTAACATTGTTTATACATAATTTTGTAATATATATTTTACCTTCTATTTCTTGAAAATCTTTTATCGAGAGATTAGCAAGTAGACCGGCTATACAATCTCGTACTAATATCTAAAATAAAAAATAAATAACAATAATAATGATAAAATTGATAATTAAAATGGTTATACCAAAATAGTTAAGTAAAATTTACCTCACACTGTATTTTGAGCTTTTGTAATTCTTCTGGATTACAATTAGACTTAAGCTTTCTCATTTCTGACTCGCGATTTCTTTCACGTCTGTCACTAGAAGCTGGGAGAGCGGCTTCCACTAAATTGCTTGTATCATTATCACCCTCGTTATCATCATTATCACAAGCGCTACTCTTGTTGTCGGTATCATGAGGAGCATCACGATCATAGCCAGATGAAGATGATGTGGTAGTCGTTGATGTTGTTGTTGTTGATGATGATGAAGAAGTAGCTGATGTAGTGGCCCGTTCACCTGTCTGGCAATGCTTCGAGTGACGATGATAAGATGGATTTGCAGAAATAATTCCCGATTTATCACCACTACCAGCATTACTACTGTACACTCTTGCTAATTCACGGCATTCACAGGGCACATAAGGTGTCACCCTACTATCCGTATTCTCTCGCCAAACTTGTACATCTGTGTTTACAGAACCTGCTGGATCGTCAACTAAAGAACCATCGAGTTCCATCATACCCAAGACATCACAACGCATGATGTCACAGTAATTTGCTAAACAAACGGCATCTTCAGCCTAAAAAATATTTTAATTATTAATTTATAACATTCATATTGAGTTTTTTTATTAATATTAAGAAAAATCTATTTTTAGAAATTTTGCTTGCAGGTTTAGATCAATTTTAATAAATAAAAGTTATAATATCAAACATTCAATGTTAGAATGAAGCTTCTCATTTATGATTTGAATTCAAAAACAGATTCAGCTTCTACTTACGATTGTTATTTATTTACAGAAAAAGTTATGGTCAAAAAAAATTTTTAATTTGACAAATTAAAAAAAAAATGAAAGTTTTTGTGAAGTTTGTAAAAAATAAAAAATTTTATAAAATACTTAAAAGTTTCAGTAGTAAACTGTTTAAAACTTTTGAAATATATAAATTATTTAACGACTGCAATTGCAGTAATATTAATAAAATACATACCGTATTGACATTACTTTTATGCCTGCTATCAAAATGTGCATCAAGATGTTTTTCTGCATAAAAGGATTTTCCGCACAGACCACACGTCCACTGTGATGTCCTGTGCTGTATCTTGGCCACTTGCTGAGGGTAAAAAATGTCTCGACTGTTGTGGAATGGGCATTCTAAAGGCAATTCCACCTGATACTTTTTTAAAATTGGTATCCATCTCTGTTAAAAAAATAAATATATTTAATTACAACTAATTTGAAGTTAAATAAAAAAAAAAAAAAAATACAATATTTGAGTAAATTAAAATTTTTGTAAACCTTATGCACGATTCGTCGCACCATGGACGCGCGATCCCGGGGGCATGATATTTTAAAGACAGATGGTCCTGGCCAGGGAATAACAGATAACAGCAACACCACCACAATCTATATTTAATAATATAAATAGAACGTTAATACATAATAATCAATAACGTTGAACAATAAAACTTAAACTTTATAAAAATGTTTATAAATATGAATATCAATAATTTATAAACTAAATAAATAAGTAGGTTTAATAAATAAATTTAGTATGGATTACCTCGAAGTAACAAGATTTGGTCTTCATTCATAGCCTTATGTCTGCTGAACAGATCTTGGTGATTGGCTTGTTATATTAATGACAATATCTTGTTCTTAATTAATTTCAGCTAGGATAAGTATTATTCCCGTATGATTATACTATCCGCGCACGCGTCCATTGCATTATTCCACCTACGACTTTAAGCCTTATTACACTACAGGGGGTAGTAGTATCAAACCCTAATATAAGGGATTGAAGCTCTAAGGTGGTTGGTGTCGATGAGATTGCGCAACCGCATCACCAATGCTTGACATTATATGAAATTTAACTAAAGCTCTTTCAATTGTAATTATGATGTTTAACCAATAACTTAAATTAATTATATTTATTTAAATAAAATACTTATTCAGTTTGTGATCAACCTTTATTTAGAAATATGCGCACTTAATACCAGTTATCAACGAATATTTTAATAACGTCTTATTAACAAACAGAACAGTATGCACACCTGATATGCACACCTTAATCACCTTATTTATTTTAATTGTTATTAAAATGAATAATAAAAATGAACGAGCAAACATTTTGAGAAAACAAATATTTAAAAATGTTTTTTTTTTTTTTTTAATAATAATTGCCGCCGTTTATACACACATTTAATTGTTCTCATTATATATATAGTTCTCATTCAAATAACACATTAATTTATCCGACAAAATCGCCAATGAATAATTATTAATAATTGTTATTAAACTTATTATTCCAACATTTGTATATATAGAATAATCCAATATAATTGTGAAAATGAATAACGGCCGCTACATAAAATCGTCGTAATTATCATCGTAAGTATAACTGTCGTACTCATTGAGATGGGTGTTATCTCCTTCCAATTTTAACTTAGCTTTTCCTTTACCTTTATTCTTCTTTCCTTTATCACCTTTTTCTAATTTTTGTTTTTCAATGGCTAAATTGTTGATTGATGTACCAAGTTTCTTTAAACTAATTGATGGTACTAAAAATAAAAAATTAAATTTTTTTTAACAAAATTAATAACACGTTAATGAAAATATTTATAAAACTTACAATTAACAGCTATACGACTTATTAAGTCCTCAGCAAATGTAGGATATTCAGCATGTGACTTGTAGAGATTGATTTGTTGTAGCATTGATTCAGCGTACTGTTCAAATTCTTCTTTAGTGTCTGGTATCAGTACTTCATTAGGTGAGACGCCTTTAAAAATATTATTAAATTTATAAGTTACTTTGCTGTTATTAATTACTTTCAATAACTTGCTTTTTTTTTATAATGAAGATCATCTGTTACATTGACCAGGAACAATACAGGATAGATTGATAATGAAACGCAATGGCAATTAGGTAAATACGTCTAGAAAAAAAATTCATTTACACTGTATTTCTGTTTTGCATGAAATTGCGATTTTTATTACAATACAATAACATTATATGTTATGTTAGTTAAATTTTTTCAATTTTCACTTTTTCTTCTTTTTTAAATGTTTAATTGACAATCGAGACTTATTTATCATTCATTATTAATATTATTACTATTATTATTATTATTAATATTCAATTTCATTGTTTTAATAATAATTTTATTTCCTGAGCATTATCATCTATCTCTAGTACAGTTCCTGACAATTTAAACCATTATTTGTTTTAATATCTCATTAGATTATTAGTAATTTAGCAATAGAAATAAATCAATTTTTTTCATGACAAACTCACTGATAACAATCGATTTTCTTCTGTATTTAAAAATTTTCAATACTAAATAGTATTCTCACCACGGGCAGGAAATAAGAAAGCCTCAGATCACATGTTTGTCGACCTCGGCTTCGCCTCGGTCAACAATTACATGTAATCTGAGACATTTCTTATTTTCCTGCCCTGGGTAAGAAAAATACTAAATATCGTTTATGTTCTTGAGCTTCATTACCATCAATTCAGTCTATTTGTACAGAAAAATCGATTTGACTTTGTTCATGCGTAATACTGCAATAATTTTTAAACAATTTGTTGACTTATCAACAAATTCTAGCGCATTTTTTACTATTATTTATATTACAAAGAAAATATCAATTTATACGCGAATTACTTTTTTTTATAGCTATTATAATTTAATATTTTCTTCATTTAATGACTTTGTAATGCCTCTTTAGTTATTTAATGACTCTTAATATATAAATATAAATTTAATACAAATATTTTCATGTACGAAAGAGTATTAATATTGTGAAAAGTATAAAAATTAATATTTGCGCGGACCCGATTTTATACCATTGTAAATATAACATCACAAAATATTGAATTTGATTGTTTTGTTTGATAAAACTCAATAGATAATAGCATAATGACTTGGGTTATTTTTTAGAAGTTTTAGGAGGTTTACGGGGACTAAAGTCTACAAGGTTTGACAAACCAAAAGTTTCCATCGCCAGTCGTAGATCAGCTTCCTCAGCCATTTTTTGTCGTCTTAATTGCTCAGCTCTCCTTTCCTCAGGTGTCATTGCTTCTTCCTTCTCTTTAGCTTTCTTTTCAGCTTCCTCGCGAGCTTTTCTCTAATAATTTATTGAATTAATTATAAATATTATAATAAGAATAAAAAAATAATCAAAAACACTAATTATTCCATCTACAAAAACTAATTGTTCATAATAAATAATTTATATCAATTTACCTCTCGCTCTTCAATTTTTTCAGCTACTTTTTTCTTCGGTTTGGCTTTAGGTTTTGGTGCTTCTGCTGGTTTTTCTACATCTTTTTTTTCTTCTTCCTCATCAGCATCTTCCCAACTATCCTGTTTCGTTGAAATTTTTCAAATATTAATATTTAAATATAATTTATATATTTATATTCAAAATAATTTTTAACAATTTCATTAGTAAATTGTTGAAAATGTCGAAATATAAATTGAAAGTAATTATCGATCGAGAAATTTCTTCAACATCAATTTAATGCACAATAAATAAAACAGCATGATTTATGATAACATATTGAAGAAAAGGTTAAGCATAGAGATTGGCATAAAAATGTGAATTTTCAAGTATAATAATCAAATAAATTTACCTTAACTTCTTCTTCTTCATCTTCACCTTCCCATTTATTTGAGCGTAAGGTCATTTCTAATTTTGCATCAATATTATCCGCATCTACAAAATATTAATAATTTTATTATACCTTATGCTGCGGAGTAATTAAATTTTTTTTTAGTCCATGTGAAATGCAGATGAATCATCGTTCGAGTACTTACCCCACGAGTCCTCCATTGTAATTTTTTTTTTAAATAAATCGTAACGAGGCTGATTTATATAATTAAAAAAACACAATAATTTTTACTTAAAACTGTTTTAAAATATCCTTGAAATAATCCAGATTGGTATTTATTCGACGCGACTAATAGAAAGCCTCGTGTTCAGTTCAGCCTGGTTCAGCCCACGAAAACCAGACGGAAACAGCCACCGCGCGGGTCGTTTGTAGTTTTATTTTTACGCACCGCAGCGCTGTGTTGAATTCTCTGAGGCAATACCACTAATGATCACTTGGACATAGTTACGGAATGGATAACTCACGACAATTTTCAAAATGAAAATATCATTGAAAATGTTAGAATTGAAAAAAAAAAAAAGGTTTTTTTTTTTTTTTTATAAAATTTAAGGTAATATTATACTGAAATTAAGAAAGAAAATTAGTTTATTCATTTACAATTATAGAGCATTCAAAAAACATTTAGGGACAGTTTTTCAATCCGAGATAAAATTATATATCCAGGATAAAATTAATTACATTAAAGTTAGCAGTCATTTGACTATTTTTTAATTTTATTTAACAAAAAAATTTGTTCTAAGAAATTATTTAAAAAAAATTGCATTTTTATTTTTTTTTAATTTCTAAATGTCAATTTTTTGTTTTTCATTATTTATTTGCCATAATTTATTTGTTACAGAAATGGACATGTCTCAAAAAAAATGGACCTGACTGGTGGGGATAGATTGATCTCTTCCTCTGATCTGAAATTAAAAAATACGACTGATTTTTAATTAGTATAAATATTTCTATTTATTTATTTATTAGTATAAGTAAAAGTATTTTTTGAAAACGAATTTCAGATTTTTACTTTTACCCTGATTAAAAATAATAATTGAAAAGAATTGAAAAGCGGTCACTCCATGCAAACTGTATATCTATGTATACAAACAAAAGAATTGAAATTATTAAAAAGAATTCAAATTTCATCATTTTCAATTCTTTTCAATTAATATTTTTAAACAGGGTAACTATACACGCCATTTTGTCAAACATTTTTTTTTCATTCTAGTTCCGACTATAACTATACTTATACTAATTAAAAATCAGTCATTTTTTTTTATTTCAGATCAGAGGGAGAGATCAATCTACTCTCACCAGTCAGGTTCATTTTTTTTTTAGAGCGGGGCTTTAGGGCCATTTTTATAATTTAAAAAAAAATTTTTTTTTGTTTTGATTTTCATTTTTGTGTAGTTGATAAGTAATAGAATAAGTGTAAAAAAAAAAAATTTGAAAGTATTAGTCATTCCCTTCATATAGAAATAAAATTTTTAAAATGGCTTAAATTTTAGGCCGCTAGACCACCGGGTCCTCTTAAATACTTGATAATCTTGGACTTTTCTTAATAAGAAAAATATTGTAAAGAAAATTTTTAAAAATATTTTACTTACGTATAAAAGTTTTAAAAGTTATCACTGTAAATAGTTAAAAAAATTTTTTTTATTAGTAATTAATTTTTTATTTTTCGGAGAATTCTTCAAAATAAATGCTTCCCACAAATCTATTTTATAATTAACGATTATTTTGATATTTTTCATTAATAAATATCTTAGGTTTGTGATGGAGTCGTAACTTCGAACCAAAGATGTCTCTGTCAAGTTGATGACATTCTGAAATAAATTTTGCTACCAATGTCTACAACACGTGTTGACGTTGACAGCAGCTACGTACTAAGTACTCCATTGTGATTTGTGAAGCTGAACTAACTTTACAAGGGTACTTAAGTATTCCATTCCAAGTGCGTATAATTTATTTTTAAAATAAATAATATTGATAGTTCTGTGAATAATTTTTTTAAAATAATTATATTTATATATTTTAGTTTACACCAAACAGTGAAAAGTTATTTTCAAAAATATGGCAAGTGGTGGACCTAGCGACGATCTTTCGTTAATTATTCGACTCCGAAAGAATAAACTTAAAAACATGATCCCACTGTATAATAATTTAATGTTAAAGCATATGATTCGAGCAGGGAATCTTGAAGAAGTTAAATTGCTTATAGAAAGAGGTGTTGACATTAACAAGCCAGGACGACACTCGTGGACACCACTTCACATGGTCGCATGGGGTGGACAGTACAAGATCCTTAAAATTCTGATTAAAAATGGTGCTTTAGTAGATTCTACTTTATCTGATACCTCCACAAAACCCGGATGGACACCGCTTCATTTGGCCGTTCGGAATAATCAAATCAAATGTGCCAAGCTTCTCCTTAGAAACGGAGCAAGTGTTGACTCAGTCGAAAATGATGTTTACCATCCACTCCAAATCGCCGTGTTAAACGGTAACGTAAAGATGGCGGCTCTGCTTCTAGATCATGGTGCAGACATAAATGTTAAATTTGATCAAAAAGATGAATTTTTGAAATTACTCAAGCCCAATACACCATGTGCTAATTTTTTGGCGGGGCGTAAGTTACCTCTGTTACATTTTTCGATTCTCCAAAAATTAGACAAAATGACGGAATTATTGTTAAATCGTGGTGCTGACATCGATTCAAAAAGTTTCACGGAAGAAACAACGCTGATGCAAGCCGTTCGAGTTAATGATTTAAAATTAGTTGAGCTGTTATTGGAGAGAGGTGCTAATCCTAATGATCGTGATATTTATGGACTACCTGTATTGTTTTGTATAGTATTCAGTATTAATACAATAACTTCAAGGTACAGCAAAGAAGAATATAATAAAATAGACATAAAATTGAAGATAGTGCGTTCTTTAGTGAATGCCGAAGCTGATGTTAATATTTTGTCTTCGGGAAATAATAATAATTATTGCTCACTTGTTTTTTATGCAGCCGAGCGTGGATACCATTCAATAGTCAAATTTTTGTTGTTTGAAAGTGATTTTGATTTCAATAAAATCACCCTAGAAGCTGTTATGAGAGTCAGAATTCAATTTAATTTAATTACACCAGATATTATACACGATCGTCAATATCTGAATGTTCTAAATGTTGGCATTCGTAACTCAGTTTGTCGAATAGTGGAATTCACAATCAGTAGACACTTATTCAGATTACCGGTTTGTCCAAGATTGTTACATAGATTATTACACGATGTACCAGTTAATTTATTTATTAGTAGGCAAGCACAATCGATGTTAGTTAAACTTATGTTAAATAATTACCAAGAGATGATTAATCATATGAAACAAACAAAGATTGGGGACACCAATATCACTTATTGGCATCTATCAACGTGTGATAAAAACGAGTTGATTAAATTGACAGCCCATAAAGAAATAATGAACTTATATGTACCTTATTGTATTTCTAATTACTACCCATACAGTTGCATGTTGAAAAAACGTGTAAATCCTTTTTATATAAGAAGAGTATGGGTCAAAAAATTAACAGAAATTTTATTTAATTTCTACAAAAATGATTTACCGTATGATTGTTGTGAAAGAATAGCTGATTTATTTAACTATAAACAATTAAAAGCGATTTTTAATTTTGATGACTAAAATACATTGTGAAATATTTTCTTAGTTTGATTTTATTTTATAGATTCAATTTTATAAAGCTGGAATGCATAGATAACATATATCTAGAAATTATAAATTTTTTAACGGTAAAAAGTAAAGAATTATGTGCAATATCTTTTTTAGTACTTTTATTTTTAATACTAATGCATCGATAAACTTACTTCTGAAGGGAAAAGAGACGACCTCAATAAAAATTTATAAATACACATACATACATACATGCATACATAGTGACATTCTGGTAGAAATAATCAAAATTGCTTCCTATTCTTCATGCTTGATTCAACATGATGAAACTCTTTAAAATGGCGTTTTCGATTCAAGGTTTTTTTTTTTTTAATCAGGTTCATTTTTTTATCGGTATAGCATTGTCTAAAATTCCATAGAGTCTAAAACCTAAGTAATTAAAGATAACATTTTGAGATTAAGCAGCGTATGTATAAGAAAAGAAGTTTATAATCTTAATGATGACGTTGAAGAACTCTGCTTTCAAACAGATTTCAAATTTTATTCTTCACTGCTTATTATCAAAATGAAATCTTTATAATTTTATAGAAACTTTTAATTTTATAGTATGATTAATAGTACAATGAAATACTAAATATTTGTTAAGATCTATGTAAAAATTTTAATAAATTGTATAAATTTTAATTCTACGTTTTTATTATTTTATTGGTTTGATTTTTTAAATCAACAAGGTAATTATTTTTTTTTTACGTACTTGAATTTCTTTTTAGGTTTACTATCAGTATCATAAAAAAAAATTCAGTTTATTCTTAGGCATTATACCTTATTTAAATTTGGCACATTTATCATAAATAACAATAAATTAATATTTCATGATATTTATTTGTTGCTTAAATTATTTTTTGGTCATTTTCCAAATAATCGCAACATTATAAAAACGGTACACACACTTTTAATTATTGATCTATATAAATGGAATAAAAATTATTCTTTCACAGCGAGTAAAAAAGATATATAACCACCCGATGTTTTCAGCAACTGAAAATATAACACATTTTTTACATCGAACTTTCATATCGACGTTCTAATTAGCAAATTGTCTAACTCCATTTAAAAGAATCTTTTATTTGTACGAAAAAAACAATTAGTTTAAAATTTATTATCACTTTAAAAAAACCATTTAATATCATTAATATCTAATAAAGATATAATATTTAGGTTTAATTGCATTATTACTACATCAAAATGTTAAAAAATCACCCTCTAAAAAATAAGGAGTTATACAAATTGCTAATGAGACCGTCGATATTAGTTTAAATAACTAAAAAAATTCTGGCTTTTATTGAAAAATATCCGAATAATAAAAAAATTTTCTACTATAAATAAAATTATTATTTCTATATGAAAATTAAAAATCATTTATTGATAAAAATAAATTTTTACTTGAACGAAGGTATTCATAGTTAAAGGAACTAGATTTCCAGCCGTAATCTGAAGTGGATGTTGAGAGCGAAAAGTCATAAGTATAATTTGTTTTGCTTCATGAGAATCACATGATATCCAGTTACAATTGCAACTAGCGGTATGAACTGCTTGGCTCTAAAGATAATTTCAATAAATATTAAACGTTCATTGGAAACATAACAATTTATATTTATATAATAATTATATTTCATAATTTGATAATCAAATAAAACCTATTAATCTAAATTATTAAAAACTAAATAAATAGAAATCCACTGAAATACCTGTGTTACAAGGTTTTCTCCAACCCATGAATAAACGAATGTTAAAAACAAACAATAACTTAAAAACTGAATATAAAAAATCATTTGTGTTATCGGCAAGTCAATTGAACTATCTGTAAATACCTATATAAACAAAATGACATTATCAATATTTGAAACAAAAAAAAAACATCTATATACAACTTTAAAAACTTACATTGATAAATTGAAATCCTTGGATACAAAAGGTAATAGCAACAGAACCAAACAATGCGAGTAACATCAAGCTAAACACTTTTTCAATGTCGTGCGTAAATCTAGTCATATACAAGCTTACTATTTTTATTGAATACATTCTTTATAACTATTCTCCAATAAAACTAATAAACAAAAATCACTATTTTAATGAAAGAAAATATCAGTAAATAAATACCGAATCAGTCGTACGTGGTTCTTGATATGTTTTCGCAGAAGTTTTGAAAAATATTGAGGTCTATCAGCAACTGCTTGAACTCTACTAGCAAGTATTTCCAATTGACCACATACATGAAGAATAATCATGCCAAATAATACATCTGAGCTTGTATAAGCAACTGCCGAAAGTCCACATCCAATAATTTGACTAATTCTTGTTAATTGATAACTGTATACTGTCGAAGTGTCGTAAAGATACATTGCTTGAAGAGAAAATAGGTTTTCAGGATCATCTGTCAAATTAGTAACTGTACGTAAAACAATTCCAAATGTTAGTGGGCCTTGGTATAATATGAGACTAAAAAAAGCGCCACATAATCCACAAATAGTCATTATCCTAGAAATTGTTGCGTATTTAAACATTATGTCCTTTTCTGACTTGTCTGTAACTCTATGCCAATCTTTTTCAATCTCGTCAAAAAGTCCAACTAAAACTTTAAAAAAATTAGTGTTAGCTTTATTTATTTTTATAATTAAAAAAAAATATTATTTAGTTTTCTTTTTGTTACAAACCTTTTTTGTGCCACCATAAGATAAATATTTTTAATTCACATGTTGTGATGGGTAAATTAACAATGAGATTGTCAACGATTAATGTTAAGTCACCCCATACTTTTATCAGAGCCAATGTTTGAGGAAAAGTTACAAAACTAAATATTCCAGTAACAAAAATAAATGTCTGAAAATTAGATGTTATTGTTTGCCATTGTGATTGATTATCGTAATACCATACACCAAGAATTTTCAAAACTGCGCGGTTCAGTCCTACTGCCCATTTTACGTCTTTGTCAGCAGTAGTATTATTAACATTATTAAATGAAGTATTCTTTAAGGAGGTTGCAGAAAGTTTCATTGCAATCGTCGAATTTCAACTGAACAATTCACTATACTCAACAAGAGTTCGCTGCACTTTTTTTTATCCTAGCTTCGGGAAGTTATACTCGCGTTTTTGAATAATTAATTTGAACTCATATCAATAATGCAGCTAGCTCTGATCAGACTAAACTTATTATTAACGATGGTATCTTTCAATTTTTTGTAAATTAGTTTGTAAAACTGAGCAGAACTTTTTTACGGTGCATCTATAAAAAAATTACATTGTCTCACGACTTGAGTAACAAAGTATAATTTTAGTTGCTATCAAGTTACAGAGCGGAGAATTTTTTTATGATTATGAATATTTTATTAGGTACGACTGGTCACAATGTCTGCAAAATTTTTTAAAAAAGAAAGAATATTATAATTTAATATTCTATACATTGAAAAAAAAAAATTGTAGGGAAAATTATGATGGCAACATCGTAATCCAGGAGTAGACTTTCAGTACGGTTACTTTAATAATTTTTCATTTTGAAATTTACGATTTTACAACGTAAAAATTGAGATATTTACTCTTTTTATAATATTGAAATTGACAAACATTAGAAATTTTTTTATAATTTTATAGCAACAAAATTATTATGAAAAAAAATTTAATAAAAAAATTCCACATGTGAAAATTAAAAAAATTATTAGTGAAAATTTTTAAAAGTTGATGTTAATTATATTTGACTTAAATCAATAAATTTAATTTTTTTATCGCGTGAGGCTACTTAGAATCAGACGTGAGGATTTCAAATTCCTGAGCTATGAGATTCAAAACTATTGATCGCGCACTACCACAATAATTCGAATTTATTTAATTGACTTAATTTAATTCTCATTTTTGTCATAAGGGATGGTAACGATCCGTATCTGTCATTATCATAAAATATCGTTTTTATGGTCTTTTTGTTGACGATTTCATCGTCATAAAAGTTAAAGAATTTAATTTAATTTTGGGTGATAATACATGTGTAACATTCGTTACAAAAAACATTTTTTTATTATTGCAATTGATTTGTTATAAGAATTTAAAAAATCTTTTATATGCATTTTTACGATGTAACATCATGAATTTTAAAATGTAAAATTATTATCTTTTGCTTGTACCTAAATAATTCAAATTTGAAGAGTAGAGAAAAATTTTTTTTCCAAAACGCTATGAAGATCTTATAAAAAATTTATTCTAGTTTCTGAAATTGTCCGTCAATGAGCTGTACGATTATTGGTACGTGAAAGTACGTGGATAAATGTAACATTTTGTTAATATTGCATATTAACTGAATAAATGATTAAATTCTTGATTTTGATGGAAAAAAAACAATGGACTTAAATATTATATAACTTATATAACATTAATATTTATAAAAAAATCTTTCAACAATTAATAAAAAAAAATTAAAAACAATTTATAAAAATCGACGAGCCGAAATGATTCTTTTGAACAAAATATGTGAAATTCGAGTACTTTTGCGTTTTTATACTTTAGTAAAATATGTACACGTCGGCATATATCTTCGACTCAAAGATATCAGTATAATATATCAAAAGGTAAAATAATTTTTACCCAAGTTGCCCATAATTTGCTGACACTCTGTCTTTAACTTATGCCTGGGCAAAAAAATTCGCTAATATTTCTATCATTATTACTCGAGTTTCAAACGTGATAACAACTAATAAGAAATTAATTTTTTTTGTGAAATTTAACAAAATAAGTTATTAAAAAAAAAATGTCAAAATCATTTTCATCTTCAAGTATCTTTGTAGTGCTGTTATTATTTTTAATACTATCTGGTTACTCGCTGTGTGACTCTGACAAAGGTAAAAATATAATTAATTAAATGATAATTTTTTAGAAGTGGGTGTTTTAGTTATAAGCGATGAAATTGTTTTGAACCTCTGAGTGTGATGAAAAAAAATGATATGCTTACCGAAAAACAAATTATATAATTTATCCAAATAATAGCAGTGACTTTTGATATTTTTTATTTGTTTAAAAATTTTAATAATTTTCACAAAATTTTTTTTTAATTCAAAAAATTTAACAAAAAATTTTTTTTTTAAGTTTTTTCATTTTTGATAAATTAAAAAAAAAAATAAGTGAATACGTATAAAAATTTAATAATTATTCTGTGGCCAGAAAAAATGAAAAAAAATTAATTTTTAAAATTCCTTTAATTTATTTAAAAATCTTCTAGGTCCAAGAAGAAGTCGGCGTATCTTGGACGAACGTCAACATCTTCGCGATATTTTGCAAGAGCTACAAAAAAAAATTCGGCTGTATTCCTATGCAATTGATCGATTTAACCAGAATACAAACAGAGATTTAACACAACTAAAACAAAATATTGTTAAAGGAAAAAAAAATGAAAAACGTCAAGTTATCGGAGAAAATTCTTTGAGTGATTGCTTCCAACTTCGTGAAAAATGCATTTATATGATCCATTTAATCAGATCTAATGTGCAAGCAGCCGAAATCGCATTAGCTAACATCAAGGATGTGATCTGGAGATTCCAGCTTCTTGATCCAAGTACAGGAGGCTTGGTGAAGTGTCTCCAGTGTTCTCAGTATGAGCAGGATACCCCGATCCCATTACCAACAAGTTTGTATCCCGCTGACATCACCGCTCCCGAATATACTATTTCTGATTATTATAGCTATTATATCCCACCTTACTACAGTAATCCAAACTCTAAAAATAATCCTGCTACTAACAACAATAATTATCAAAACCTTTACACTGCTCCTGAAGCTTACGGTAGTCCTAATACTTTAGAAAATATATATTACAATAATCAACCGAATTTTTATATCCCGAATCTTAAAAACAATCCGATTTCTTATCGCGTTCCTTATTATAATAATAATAATTCCAATTACCAATTTCAAAATCTTCATTCTCAAAATAATCATAGTATTGCTATTGGAGCTGATAAAAATTCAAATCTTAACTTCGGCTCAGGTTTGAAAGTGGTAGATAGAATGACGACTCGTGATACCAAAAACAAGAATAATATCAAGCAGAATTTCAGTGATAAAGCGATAATTATTAAGGACCCTTCGATTTTAAAGACATCACAGTTTTCTTTATTGAAAGAAGAGACTAACCAAGGAATGCAATCACGAGAATCGACTAGCTTATCATCAAAGTCGACGGAGGATAGCAATTCTGTGTCACCTTTCATGTGTTATTGGCCTTCTGTATGTTTTTTCAATCAAGTCTCAGGTCAACAAGTCCAGGCTCCTGAATCAGCAGCTATCGATTCCTTCCCGTTGGTTTCTCGTAATTTATTATCATGGAATCCAGCCAATTTGGGTCCAAATTTTGGAGATTACAACCCGTTTATTTCATCAAAAATCCCTGGGCCTTGTCCACAGTTTTTCGGACCTAGTGAACTTGTAGAAAATCTTGAAGGTCACAGTACAGTTAATCAACCAGTTATATATTCTCATATTCCACCCTATGATTTTCAAGAAAAATCTGGATATCGTGATTCTGGTAAACAAGAAAACAAGGAAACTGATCCAAGAACTGAGTTAAAAAATCGAGGTAATTATCATTTTTTAATCTAATTGTATTTTATAATTAATTGTCTCCACTAATAAAGGAAATTAAAATTTTCTATTCACAAAATACTTGCACAGCATATTATTAGACAGATCTAGATAGATTTTGCGCAAAATTAAAATTATTAAAACTTTATTACTTATATTTAAATATTTTATTATTACTTATTTGTTCGTTTTTCTTCCATATAGAATACCACTTTTATAAAAGTGCCGAACAGACAACCGAAGTATTTATCAACAAGAGTGATGAAGCTACTCCAGGTGAGGTTATCGAGGAAGTAGTGGTAAAAAATGTTAACAGTCCAAAGGCAGCTGAAAAGCCAATTGATAGAGAAAATTTATATGGAACTGTAACTTCGATTTATCCAGATGAAATCAGTTCAAGTAACCAGAATGAGACAGACCTCAATACAACTTTGAGAAATAAAGAAAACGTCACGGATGACACAGGAGACGCAGTAAATGAGATGTCAGAAAGCAGTACCAGCAGATATGATTATGACAGTAATATCCTGGAGATCGACGCAAGAACACATAAAGATGACACACTAACTAAAGCTTTTAATGACACATGGAAATTGAGCGAAAACGACAATGATTTTGTTTGCTCCAAGTAAGTTTCTAAGTTAGAAAACATTCAAGAAATAGGGATATTTATTTTGGGTTCTGTTTTTCAGTATAACTCAAGTTGTTTCGAGGCTTCTTAGATGCGACAAAAAATTCGACTGTGAAGACGGAACAGATGAACTTGATTGTAAGTGTATTGATATTTTGACCATCAAACACCCTCTATCGATTTGTGATGGGCGTATCGATTGTGCGGATAAAAGCGACGAACTCTATTGCAGTAAGAAAGACATTTCATTTTCTTTTTTGTTAAATTTATGGAATAATCAAATACAATGTTTTTCTATTATTTTTAGATGATATGAGTAATAGCCAGGACACTTATCTCTGTTCTCGGAGTGCTGTTTTCATTTCTGCAGAGAAGAAGTGCAATGGAAAGACGGACTGTCCATTGCATGACGATGAAAAGGACTGCTGTAAGTTATATTACGTATGAAAGTTATAAATAAAATATCGGTAAATTAAACTAAAACTTATTTAAGACATAAATAAAAATAAATATTTTAATTATCAAGCATTTATTTCTAAGAAAAAATGTGATGAATAATGTAATTTTTATAAATATTTATAGAAAACTTAAATCGTGATAATTAATTGAATTATTTATATTCTTAAGAAACTGTCAAAGATATCAAGAAAAAAAAATATAAAAATCAAAATTATCAAACAAAAATTCATCAAATTATTAGCACTCTTTTACATTATAGTTAAATTGACATTTGTTGAATTTTTTATTACTATTATTGAACTGTATTTGATAATGTTGAAAGTTAATTGTGATTAATATTTAATGTTTCAGATGCATTAACAAATGGAGACCATATCGAATTAGATTTAGAAGGTTCAACAATATTGAAAAAAAATGGAATTGTATCAATCAACAGGGACAATATTTGGAAAATTTTGTGTTTTGACAATGCAACAGACTTAGAAAAGACAGCCGATAATTACTGTAGCGCGGTTGGCTTCTAGTAAGTTAAATAGTCACTAAAATTATTTTCAAAAATTTTTAATGATTTTTTTTTGTTTTTACTAGCAAACACGAATCAGCTAGCTTCCACTACGTTGACGAAAAAATATTGGACGTCCATCCAAGCTCAGAAATCAGTTCGATAACTTTCAACCGCAGAGAAGTTCTTAAAAATATTTCACCAAAAGATTCTGGTGCTGTGATGTGCCACGCTCTTTACGTAGACTGCTCAATGAATTTTAACAAACCCGTATATGATTACTTATACAAAAGCAACTTGACTAATAATGAAACATATTTATTACCGTGGGAACCGGCCATTTTCGTGGACGGTAAATACCATTGCCCTGCGTTGCTATTAAACACCGAATGGGCTATGGCTTCTTCACACTGTACAAATGATATCAAGTAAGTTTAACATTTTTGAACCCATCAATTTGAGCTCTAGAAAATTAGTACTAAAATTTTCACTGATATAGCCTCGACAAAAATATCACTGCCATTATAGCAGGGTTGTCGATGCCTCATCGATATGTAGACGGACCTCATCAGCAAACCAGGATGGTGAATCACATCGAGAACCTTGACCAATTTCACACTAGTTTATTGCACTTTGATAAGTTACCTGTAACTCGTTACATCAAACCAATATTTATCAATAATAGGTAAACATTTTAGTTTTTATTTAACGGAGATTTAAATTTATAATAGTAAAAAATTACTTAGTATTTATTATTTATTTTGCAGGCCATTAGCTGCTACAGAAGGAGAGTACTGCCAAGCTACAGGAGTCAATAAGAAGTTGGAGAAAAAGTCTGTAGGATTTGATGGAGTTGTTAAAGATTGTCCATTCTGCAAAAGATGTTTCAGAGACTTATTGAGAAATTGGTGCCCTGTAAGAATATATTTTGAAAATGGTTAAAATTGAATATTTACAAGTGTAAATTACAAAATTTTTGTTAAATTCTTAAAAAATACTTGAAGAGTTAATTTAATAGTTCTTCTGATGAAATATTTTTATTTTCAAATTAGAAAAATGGAACCATGGAAAAATGGAGTGGATTCATATCATGTCACAATTCTCGTGGGTGGTATCCAGCAGCTGTTTTCCATGAAAAAGACATTCTTTGTGAATTCGAAAACCCCCAGGCACTTATCGGGATCGACGAAATGCTTCCTCATTTAACAAAAATCATGAGTAGGACAGTAATCAGTAAATGTTGTTTTATTGATGTTGTGATATTAAAATAACAATAAAGCTTCAGTAGCTTTAGTATAATTTTATAAAAAAAAATCTGTTTTAGATGAAAATAACTTCAAACTTCCAAATGCGCAGTGCGATGCTGATGGTATGAAATGTACTGAAGGTAAATGTATTCCATTTGAAAGAATTTGTAACGGTATCCAAGATTGTCGAGACGGATCCGATGAAAATGAAGACAACTGCCTTAGGAAAAAAGACTACTGCAATGATTTAGTGGAGGATGAACCTAATAATCCTTTGTGTGACATAAGTAATCATAAGCACTTAACTTTTTATGATTCTTTAAATCATATTCAATTTTTTTGATAAATAATATAATGTTAATTAATGATTCTTTATTTTCTAGGATGTTCTACCCGCCAGTTAAGATGCAAAAATGGTGACTGCATATCGAAAGATTTGTTTTGTGATGGCTACGCCGATTGCGGAGACGGCAGTGATGAACCATTGGGCTGCAGTTGCAGAGATTACCTTCGTCTAACATCACCACATCGTCTATGCAATAAGGTTCGAGACTGTTTCGACAAATCTGATGAAGCTCAGGAGTATTGTGGTTGTTCAAATGACCACTACGAATGTTCTAATAGGTTTGTAATTAACAAAATACTGGATTTAATCAATGAGAAAAATTTAAATAAACAAATATCATTTCTCGATGATTTTCAGTACTAGGGCCGATGAAGAGAAACAGTGTATTCCTTACGACTTTGTGTGTGACGGTCATAAAGATTGTCTTCACGGAGAAGACGAGTTTTCCTGCAGGATGGTACAAAGTGCTGATGACACGTAAGTATTTTAAAATTTTCTTGTTAATTTGTTAAGTCTTGATATTTACAAAATTTCAAATAGAATATTTTTATATTCATTATTTTAATTAATTAATTTTTTATTGTCAATTGATAGCCTTGGCGCAGGAAGGGTGTTGAAACGCCAACTTGGAGTCTGGTTTGACGAATGCTTCTCTCATCCAATCAATTCTGACCGACAAGCTTCAATAATATGCACAACGATGGGATACTCCGGCGGTGTGCTTCTGGACGAGAAATCTCGTAGTGCATATCCACCCCCGCAGACTATACACGAAGCTCCATATTATACTATAAACTTAAATGGCATGGCTTTTATCATTCTCAAAGATGATGTACCATCCGCTACTTTAGTGACTCAACATAATGAGTGCAATCGTGCTTTTGTTAAATGCTTTCATTAATATCATATTCTATGACATTAATTTTTTATATCGATGATCTAATTAGCAATTTGTCTAACTCCTTATTTTTTAGAGGGTGATTTTTTAACATTTTGATGTAGCCATAATCGAATTATAAATTATTTGAATGATTCAAACGTAAATATTATATCACTATTAGATAATAATAATATTAAATGGTTTTTTAAAGTGATAATAAATTTTAAACTAATTGTTTTTTTCGTACAAATAGAAGATTCTCTAAAATGGAGTTAGACAATTTGCTAATTAGAACGTCGATATATATTTCGTATCTTTTTTGTATTTTAGCTTTCATTCACGCTAACGATCGAACAAAACTTTTATATGATAGATTTACTAAAAAAATTATATTACACTCTCAAGTTGAATAACAAAATATACTCTTACATCAGGTCCTCAAGGCATAAAGCGATACATAATGTATGGTTTATGATAATGAATATTTTATTAAGTATGACCGGTGACAGTTTGATATCGTAAAAATGAGGGAGTAATATAATTTAATATGATAGGAAAAATAATTTCTGTCGCTAACGAAAACTGTTAAAGCTAAAGTTTTTTTATTTTATCCAGGTAAAGCATTCATAACGATCATAATGATCGTTGGATTTCTTTTTTAGTCAATGTATATTCAAAAGCATTTTTTTCATTTAAATATTATTTTAATACATTAAATTTTACTAAAAAGACTTGGAATTATTATTACAAAAAAATAATCTATAATATTTTTTTTAATAATAATTCTCTCTGTATGTTATATTTATTTATGAATTTTAATTAAAATTTATAACTGTTGCCCAATTTTGTTTTATCAACACGACTCTTCAACTATTTGATTTTCGTTTTGATTTAGAAAACTTTTTTTTACCATATAGAAAATTTTTTTATTTGTCAGTTCGACATTAAAGCTAAAAAATAATTTTTCTCCCCTCCGTGCGGAAAGCGTCAATTTTCTGCTTGCTGCGCTAAACGAAAATGCCGCTTTCCGCCTCTGTCGAGGAGAAAAATACTATTCTCACCACGGGCAGGAAATAAGAAAGCCTCAGATCACATGTTTGTCGACCTCGGCTTCGCCTCGGTCAACAATTACATGTAATCTGAGACATTTCTTATTTTCCTGCCCCAGGTAAGAAAAATACTATTAAACCTATAACAACAAAGCAGAAGTGTTATTTATGATACTGAAATTGGGAGAAATCTAATAATTATAAACATTTTTTTAAAAACAGATAAATTATAGTAAAAAAAATTTATTTAAAAAATTCTATCTTTACCAGGCTCTAAATGCAATGCATTTTTTTGTAATAATTTTCTAGACCTAGTGTTTATTTTTCTGTAAAAATAAAGAATAAATTGTTGTGTTTGCTAATTTCAGTGTCATATATTTTATTTATTTAAAAAATTTTGTTGATATTTTTATTTACCTTATTGGGTATTGATAATTTACTATCCTGAGATAATATCACTTCCTTTAATATTTCTATACGTTATTATCAAACACTAAATACCTCATGATGTGTTGCACATAACCTGGAAAAAACAATTGTTAAACAAAAAACAAAAGTGAAATTCATTATTTAAAGGTATGATAATTTTATTTCTTTCAAATAATTAAATAATTACATTGTTATTAAATTGAATAATGTAATTAGATCAATAGAGCACTTAATAAAATAACAAATCTACAAAATGACAATTTTTATTTAGAGCACTTCTAATAAGTCTAAGTAGTTAATAATTTACTTATATTTTCAGATGATATTCCGGCAATCATTATTCCGATCGTTAAGAAATTATCGTAATGTACGGAATTACAGCAATAAACCGGATGAACTGGTAATATTTAAAAATGATATGGCTATTTGTTGGCATCCAGAGGTCGATTTTCCTTACGATTGTTCAAAACCGATTCCAAAAGCTAAACAGACTCCGAAATCAGTGTTAAAGACATCCGAAGAACAAGCTATGAAAATGTTCAGCCGAGAAAAACCACGAGTAGTCATAGTAGAAGAGTTGGCTAAAATGACTTATACGACAAAACATAGATGGTTCCCTCGCGCAAGAGATAAGAAAGCCAAGAAAACTGTTCCAGACAGACCTTACCTATAAATTTAATTCACTCTGTAAGATTTTTATATAGATTATAATTATACTATTCAAAAATGAATGTGTTTATTATTTTAACATAATTTTTTTTTTTATTTTTTATCAAACGACAAAGTCAATTATAAACAATTATTATTCTGAGTATCATAAGCTGCTATAAAAATTACACAAAAAAATTTATCATTGCACTTTTACATATCTATAAATTTTAAATTAAAATTATTATATTTATATCTTTAAATTAATATTCCATTAAAATATTTATAACTTGAATTAAAAACACACTCACAACATTTATATAACAATTTATAACATCTAAAAAAACGTTATTTATATTTGTAATTATGCAAAAATTTCTTGCAATTATAGAATTATTATAGATATATTTGATGAAATATTTTTGTTCAAATCACATAAAAAATTTATATTTTTACTAAATTAATTAAAAAAATATTATGTCTATGTAATACTTTGAGGAAATAGCTGTCGTTCACCTTCGTACATAAAAATTTCCATAGCTTTATAAAGTAAATAATTACCCATACCAATTTTATCCAAATTGTTCATTGTTGTAATTATACCATAATAATTTCCACGTACACAATTAGTCAATTTATCAAGACCAATAGCGTCAATCATAGCTGCCTCACGGGTAAAAGCTTCTTCTTGCATACGATTCATATAAACGTGAAGACAAATAACACCTTTTGATTCCCGCCAGATGTCAAGAATTTTCTGAATTTTATTAGAAGGTTCATCAGACTTATTCTTGAACCAGAAGTCAAATGCATCATACAGATGAGCTGCCGGTCGCGACGCTTTGCCTTTGCCAATGTAAAAAATAGCTTTGAGAAATATATTCCAGCGTTGTCCGGGTGATAAATAACGACCATTACGCGGTAGATTGTTTGTAATTCGTGGATCTAGAAGAATGTAGTTGAAATATGATTTTGAGATACCTCCACGATATCTTCGATTAGGTTTCGGTGTTTCGAATTCTTTGAACACTCGATCTTCGAGATCTTGGAAAGGCTGGAGATTGCACGCCCAAGGGTCGAACAATCCATTTTTCACCACTGGAGAAAGTTTAATCTCATCCTTAAGTGACAGCTCTTGCATACGAGCATTTAAATCAACATTTTTTTCTAATTTAGTAAGTCGTTTTAAATATACGTGGTAAGTTGTCGATGTTATAGGTCCAGGTTGTTCTCCCAAAGTTATTAAACGGTTCCGAAGATCACAATTAGCAAGTATTTGTTTACCTTGTACTGGTTTATGTACGACTCTTAAAGGGCCACTTTCATTGTTTTCAGCTAAAATAATAATGTATTAAGATTAATTAATGAATTAAAATAAAAAAATTTTTTTAATTTTTTATTTTAATAAAAAATACTTACACATTTCTTCTAAATAACTAGATTCGCTAATATGGTCAACAGGTTCATCGAGTTTTCTGAAATGTAAAAAACATAGTAAAATGGCTGCGACTAACAATCGTTATCACTTGTCATACGTGGAAGTAAGTACTTTAAATAGATATCAAACAATGTGAGTAATAACAATATGCAATATAAAGTTATTAACAGCCGATCCCCCCTTTTTCTCGCGTCGCACTCACTGCAAAAAAACGGTGCTATCCTTGTTGCACTCATGATTATAAAACTATTGCAGTTTTATGATTTTCTTTTAAACAAATGAGAATTTCGACAAAAAAAAACACTTTGTTACAAATTAGATAATTAAAAAATCTATAACGAAGCAGAGCTTTTTTTTTCAAAATTCTTCTTTGTCTAGGAGAGAAATATAATAAAGCTGCAATCGTAAGGACCGGCTGATGAATAAAAATATATAGATATGTTTGATATTTTTGTTCGAATTGAAAAGTAGTATTATAAAATTACTTACGGTATGACACATAGTCGACGTTCTAAGAAAGCTTTCTTTCTTTCAGGATCAACGTAATGGTACTGCTCTTCGACAGTAACAAACGAATCATTGCTCGTTGAAGAACTGCAAATAAATAACTTTGTTAATCATTTATACAATAAATTATTGGTAAAAATTAATTACTTGAAATTATTTACAAACCTAAAAGATCGGAGAGGAGTTTCGTAAGTATCAGTATCGCTGCTTTGCATTTTATCTTCAACTTTTAATTGATTATTAGAACTATCTTTTTGGCTCTGGACTGAACTTTCGTACTCATAACTTGTGTCAATAGATGGTTTATAAATTAACAAGGAATTCGTAAAATCATCGGATAGTGCTGTTGACTCATCGGTAGCCCAAGATTCGTCGGATCTTTTAGAAATTGATGCAGGCGGTGTTTTATTGCCCTTGAAAATATTATTTATTTCATAGTGTAGATCGAGTTCCTCCTGATCACTCAGCTCTGATCTTACAGATAAATAATTTGACGTTGGTGTAGAAGATCCTGGACTTTCAAGAATAGATTTTATTTTATCATGGAAAGAAATATTCAATTCTTTATCTTGTTTTATTTCTTCTTTATTGCTGTGTTTGTCAACATTCCTATCTCTTGTATTCTCTTTTAAATTTTTTGACGGAAGAAGTAGATGAGATCCTTTGAATGACCTAGGTTTTGTTTTTTCCTCCAAATTTTTTTTACTATCTCCATTCAACTTTAAACCTCTATTATTCATTAAAATCTCACTATTTATTAATTCTGAATTTTCTTTATCATAATCATCTTCAAAGGAATCATTTAAATTTCTAATAATATTTTTTAAAAAATAGCTATCATCAATATCTGACTTGTATTCATTATTTGTCGAAAAAGAAGAAACATAATCTCTCTCATTGTAACTCAGATTTAATGAATTCCTATTAATATTGTTATTCAAACATTTTTTTTCCTTAGATTTACATTGCACTATTTCAGTCTCTTTTCTCGGCGTTGAACTGGCACTTTTAGCACTTGAACTGGTGGATGATTGGCTCAAAGACATTTGATTCATCAAACTTTCACTCTCCAACGAGTTCGATGTATTAAATTTATTATTATAATTTCTGTTGATATTAATATGAAAATTAGGTGATTTGCTGATAATCGACGTATCGAGCAATGTCTTTGATTGCTTTTTATTCATAAATTGTAAGTTATTTTTAAATATTTTTGGCTGTGGAAGTAAGCTTACGAATTTTTTTGTGTGTTTATTTTTCATTTCATCGTTTAATTTTTTATTAGCCCACGAGCCCGTAGTTTTCTCGAATGAATTTGAGAGTCTTTTTATTATATTTTTAACTAATTTTTGCTCATCTCTAATAAACCCGGACTTTAATTCAGAGACGATATCATCAGGTAGTATTGGAGATATAGCATTTTTATTAACGCAATCATTACGATTTGCTCGTGGACGTCGACGAAATGTTATATTATCATTTGGAAGATTATCAAAGGAATCATCGTTAGTTGTATAAGAATATGCTTTTTGTACAGAAAAATCATCAGGTAAATTGTAACTAGATGAGCCATCTGATTTATAGCTAGATAAATCATTAAAGTTTTTGGTATTTTGTTTTTTTTCATCAACAGTATGATTCGTAAAATCAATGTCCGATGGTACATACTCGGCTACAACATTACCGTTATTGATAAAAATTTTTTCCAGTGTAATTTGAACCTTGGGCTTATCACTATCGCTGTTACTATCTTCATCATCATCTTGAGTTTTGCAAGAAAATTTAGCCAAAACAGAAACGGCTTCATAGAACGAGCCTTCTAGTGCGTAGTGAAATGGAGTATGATTTTCATCATCTACACACAATGGATCACCACCATTGGCGAGTAATAATTCTAATACTCGCACACGTCCCCAGGCTGCAGCAACGTGTACTGGAGTCATTCTATCAATCGACCTGACATTTGGATCTCCGCCATGACGTAAAAAAAGTTTGGTAACCTCTTCAGCAAATGCTTCTGATTCGTTACCTATCACCAGGTGAAATGGCGAAATACCATAGGATGGAATTAAAATATTAGGATCTGCATCTTTTTCTTTTAATAATGCTTTTACTTGGTTCATATTATTATCTTCCAATCCATCATATAATGAAGATGCTAAATACATTCCACTTTTTTTCTGTATCAGTGAATATAATTCCTGTTGATAAATTATTTATAAAAAATTATAATTTATTTTAACAAGTAATGAATTGACAAATATTATATCTACTCACCGGGTTAAACATTTTATTTTATTTGAATCTTTTCAATTAAATATATTTGAAATATTATTGGCAATAATTTCCTTTGATCAACACAAAATTATCCTGAAAAAATTAATTTTTGTTTTAACCACTTGTATAATTCTAGTGATAGATTTATTGGAAAAAAATATTAAAACTTACCTTTTAATAGTTTAATTTATAATCAATAAACACTTTTTAAATTTTAAAAAATTTAAAAGTTTGTGTATTTTGAAACATTGTTTTAATACTCATTTATAAATAAAAAATTTCTCACATGTTCAAACAATTGTTACGAAGTTGTAAAATAAAAACAGAATAAAAAAAACAAACCAATAGTGTGTTTAAGGTTATGAATTTAAATAGGTTTTCAAACTTCCTCACTAGGTGGCGCGAAAAAATAAGCGCGGTTTTTTTTTAAATAAAAATAAATAACGATGTGGTTGCTAGGATATTATTATCGATAAAATATTTTGCTTGGATATTATATTATATACAAATATAAATGTTATGTATTAGATAACATCTGTGATAAATGTATAATTTGTAAGACAAAAATTATTTGATAATTTTTTTTATCGATTTACTGGACGTGATATTCAACGAGAGGAAAAATTATAATTATAAAGATGCCTTATGATATTGATGAAAATATAATGGAGTTAATAATTAAGCCTCCGATTGAAATAGAAGAACCACCAATGTACGTATCTAAATTTCGTAATTCTGTTAAAAGAGCATTTATTCGTGGTAAAAGTGCTCATAAAACTCTTGGTGTACCTAGAGTATCATTAAATTCACCGCAAGAATTTCTACGAAAACATTCACGTAATGAAATAAAGCATTCTGATATTAAGCATAAACATTATCATATACCAAACTATCAGCACAAATTGCCTGAGTGGAAACCACAGAAATTAACGAATCCTTCAGATAAAATACCTAGAAATACAGTAAATTCAGGAAAGAATTTTAAACAAGATAATATTGTTAAAGTTAAAAATGCACAAGCTAAAAAACCAATATTGTATTATGTTGATGATCGGCTGGGCAATTCTTTTCCCCGCAAACCTAATGGCAACTTCTCTGTAAATCCAAATATGGTAAATATTTTATTAAAAAAATATAAATAAAAATCTTGTATAGGTATTAAAAATTTAAACTTTTAATTTTTAACTTTCAGGAAAATGAAAATCCACTGTACTATTTAGAAAAAAATCGTCAGAATGAAAAAACAAGAAAAAAGTTATTAGAAAAATTTATGAAAAGTAATAAAAATTCGACAGATCAATCATCCGCAAAGTGTGAAACATCATTAGAGCATGACGGGTTAGAAAGTACAGAAAATGACAAAAAATTATCCAAGAAAAAACATACTAAGAGAGAACAAAGTTGCCGTTATGTTACTGAAGAAGAACGTGCTCAGCTTCTTTTAGTAAGTTATTTACAATAGTACACTTTTATTTACACATTTAGGGTATATGTGAAATAAGATAATTTTAACTATAAGTAATATTTATCATCATAAATAAAAATAATAATTATTTGTTATAGGGTATGAAAAAAAGGTGGGAAGATATGATGAAACAATTTCAGAGCCTTCCATTTCTCACTGACACACCACCAAAAGCAAAAAGAAAAGCAAAAATGGAGCAAGATTTGAAACAATTGGAAAAAGATATAGACATGATAGAACGCTATCCTCATATTTACGTTTACAACGATAATGATGATTAAAAAACTATATTATTCAGTACATTTTATAAAATAACGATTTATACAAATGATTAATAATTGTTACAGAAATTTAAAAATTAGTAAACTAAATTTAAGAGCTAGAACTCTTGCCAAGTTTCTGTAATAGTTTCATCGTTTTTATTGACAATCAGAGTAAAAGTATCACCGTTATCTGTTTTACGTTTTTTAGATCGTTTTTCGGTTACTGTATTCTCACTTTCCAGCATCTTACTGTTTTCGAGATCACTTAGTGGACGTAAAGAAAGATTTTTATAGTTTTTTTCAACTTCATCACCAACACTAACAATTCTATTGTCATATATAGCCGGTATATCACAATAAAGACATTTAACATCATCAAATTCATAGTCGAGTAGCGGATGAAATATCCTTCCACAATTAGGACAGTTTCGATATTTAAAACACGTTATTTGTAGTAATGTGATAGCACAACGCGGTAATTGATGACCCTTAGGACAAGTTGGTTTATTCCAAGGTAAATCCGTCACCATTTCACCACATAAATTGCAGTACTCTTCTTCAATTAAATCTAATTTAGCAGTTGCCCTTAATGCATCTGTCGCTTGCCTGACTGCCGAATTTTGATCTGTACTTTCATCCTCGCCTGCCAAAAAAACTTCCATATAAAGCCGCAGAAAATGAATGCAAAGTTTTAATTCATTAGATAATGATGTCTTTTTAGCTATTTTAAGCATAAATTCTGTTGCCGAATGCACAAATATTAATGGTTGAGCTTCTGATATTTCGCCGACAAAATTATCAATTTTCTTAATAAGCTTTTTATTCTTCATAACTTCTGTAATTAATGTTAACCACATAACAATACGGAGTCCGTGAGTACTTAGTGATTCTATATCTTCAGGAATTGCTGGAAGAATTCGCTCCGGAGTAGGGTCACGAGACGCACGTATCCTGATTGATTCCAAACAATCCCAATGATCGCCTAGTGTTATGCCGTTTTTATTTAAAACTTTCCAATGATCCCATTCTTCGCCTTTAAAATTGAAGAAATAAACAGTACTAGGCTCGCGATTCACCAGATGATCGTACAAAACATTAGGACTCGTGACATTGACAAACGTAGCACCACTCGGTGCATGCGCTAATCCTAAAAAGTTTACTTTCGATGCTTTCATTTCATGGTTAATACCTTCGGTTATTAGGTCAGACTCAGTTATTAATGTTACTGAATACATTTTGCTGTCTTGTGTTGATATTAATAATTGGTTATTATTAATTAGCGTCAGCCCTGCAATAAAGAAAAGTCAATAAAAAATTATACAATGTTTAATGACAGATAAAAAAATAAATAATAATTACCAGATATTAAAAATCCTGCAAATTCAATGTATTTTTGTCTCAAAAGTTTTCCTTCATTATCAACTGTTATTATTATTAAATAATAACTTTTAACAATCACGATATTTATTTCTTTTTCGGTACGTTTAAATTCCTGGATAAAACTGACGCTCATTCTATCAGGAGTTGATTCATATTTATAAAGCGACTGTTGAATAATTGAGTCGTTGGTTTGATTTATTTGAATACCGTAAACACGTCCATCGAAAAATCCAACGATGATTAAATATTTATTGATGTCAAGATTTATCCAAATAAGTTTTGTAATTTTAACATTTATGTCAAAACGCATGCGATAGACTATTGTAGGTAGTACTTTCACTTCAAGTTCATGTACTTTTATAACTTTCCAGATCACTAGATCACTACTTCGATATCCGGTTAACAAATAGCTATAAAATATTGATTTATCTTGAAACAGAGGACTCCATGCCAGAGCTGTTCCACAAAGCCGTTGTAAAGTACTTTTAAATTTATCAACATCGTCAGCATTTACTTGTAAAGTTTTAGAATCATATTCTAATTCATCTTTTACTGCTTCCAACCATAAAGTTGACAAATTGATTATCGAATACCAATTACTTCTTATTTTAGCAGTTATATCTATGGCGCCGGTTGATGTAACAATAGCCAACAAACATTTTGATGGTGATAGTAATTTTATTGGCGACCAAGATAGATCAACAATTCTTGGAATATGATCAACTTTGTCTTTTATTTTTGGTGTCAAAGTAACGTCTAATAAAAATGAATACAAGTCATTCCGCGAAAATTCATTTATTATTGTATTTATGTTTGGTAGATAAGGCCAAATCGGTAAATAATCTGTTGCATAAATAAATGATCGTTTGAATTTTGCAGATGGATAGGCACACAATGGATTTGGTTGTAGTTCCTGAAATAAACATTAATTGAATAAAATATATGTTTATTAATAAGTATTATTTAAATAAATAATTCTTTAATTATTTATTTAAATATATAAAATGCTTGAATCATTTTTATCTATTCTCAATTAAATCAATAATTTGTAGCACTGAAAATAACATGGATAAACTTTTTACATTTTCAAGTAAATAAATTAAATCAAATAGAAAAAAATACTTGTACTTAGTTTTTTAAGCATTATATTGACTAAACAGTGTATAATTTATGAAAATTAAGTTAGTCGACACTAAAAAATTTTTAGAAATTTTTTTATTAAAAAAATTCCAATTAAACAATTAAAAAGAAAAATTTCATATATAAAAAACTTGAAAAACTACAAGTGCAATTTTTTATAAATTTTTTTTTAGTTGCAATTTAATTTAAAAAAAAAAATCAAAACTTTTTAGATGTCGGCTAACTTAATTTTCATTATAATTTTCACAACATTCGGATTCAAACAAAAAATATTAACATGTCGGCTATTTTCAGTACCACTTTTAATAATTAAAGTAAAATAAGAAATTATAGTTACAATTATATGAACCCCCTTTTCTGTTATAACAGAAATTTGATTATCTTGTGACCAATCAACAGCAAAAGGTGAAATAATAAGTTCATGTAGTGATAAATTGTAATAGTCACTAGCTTCCATTTTAATAATTAATGAGTAATATTACTCATAGAATAAATAATTTACAAATAGAAAAGTTGAGCTTGAGTTATAATAAATAAGTAATAAGGTTGTGTTTTTTTAATCATAATAACAAGTTACATGTGTGATGGTTTGGTGATTGCTGCGCCATTTTTAAATGTCCGCGCATGCGTAAAAATAGAGCGGTAAATTAAAAACGGGGCTTAATATTTGTAAGGCTGGTGTGAGAGCTGCAGTTGTGATATGAAAACCGATTGTACAACAGAGCACCCCCTTATTGGGGGAATTATATTGCTCTATAACATACTTCCGGAACACCTGTATTAACGATGTTTTGATATATCCATACGTGTGTGTAATTGAAAGACAGCAGGGGGCGCGTGATTTTTTTTTTCTCAATAATTCAAGTCCAAAATGGCGTGTGTGTTGTGAATGTATATTGAAGAGCAGGTGAGAGCTTATTTTTTTAAATACCACTGTTAATATTATTTATTTCTCCGTTACAGGTATATACATGTATAAATATTTTATAAGTGAAATTAATTGTGTAATTGGAGTGTGACACGTGGATAGCGTACTAATGTGAACAATAATGAGTATATTTTGTATCGTGTCAAGGCGTTACCATGTTGGTTTTACTGTTAAATATGTCATACCATATCAAATGTGATAAACTATTTTATTCTTACCTTTTTACGTCGTTTATAAAAGTACCAATCACTTTATTTTTATCATTCATTATTTTCATTACGATATTTCTAGTTTTCGTTCAATTTGTTTTAATGCATGTATAAATAATATGTATATTTTTTTCGCGGTAATAGATTATTATTCGCGTATGAACTTTTTTACGTACTTACACGTTTACTTTGAAATATTTTACTGATATGTCTTGACGGGTAAAGTCTTATTGTTATTGTTAATATTATCTTTATTTTTATTTATTTATTTATTTTTTTTTTTAATAACTATATGATTATTTACATACACGATTTTTTTTACTAAATGTTGATAATGTGTATTTAACTTGTCTTTTTATAAAGAAAAATAATGATAATTATAATAACAATTTAAACACTCACACTTACACGTGTTTATCAATATGTTTTTTTTTTTTTTATTACGTTCTTTAAATAAAAACATCGCAATTGACCACGGAATTATTTTTTCAACTATTTAATTTAATAAAAACAAAAATGTTTTTAACGACGTAAAATTTAGTTATTTATAATTTCTTTGGACACTTCAAAATTTTGAGTCTAAAAAAAAATTAATAATTTATTTGATATGATAAAATATTTCAAAGCAGCACTGGCTATTTTTTAACATTGAATTGAAGGATCATTGGGCTTATTAGAGTCTATGGTTAATTGATTGTTTTGTCATCAAATCTCTTATCACAAGCTAGTGTAATAGTTAAGGCTACCTTATCAGTTTGATAAACTCTACCACATTTATTCTGAGCACTTACACGTTATTATAAAGCGACTGTTTTTTACTCTTTTTCAAGTTTTTTTTTCTTAAATGAGCCATTAAAAATGAAGCTTAATAAGAAACAAATAATTTATGATCATTAATAGTTAAAAATAATTTTTATTAAAGGAAAAAAAAAATTATACGACAAAATAGATTCGATAAAATGTTATTGACCTAAATGAATAAATGGTTGTGTTACAAATGTGTCGCTAGAATGATTAAAAAATTATTATATCATGTGTTAATCTAAATTATCATTATACTTGTTAAACTAAAAAAAAAAAATTTATAAACAAAATTACTCTTTGAGCTAGATTTTATTTCGCAAGGAATTAAATATATATAAACTTAATTTAAATTATTATTTAACTTCTACATACAACAAATACTATTAATTCTATTTTATAATATTATTATTATTATTACTATTTAATCTTTCAATTGTCTGATTTTTACAATTCAAAGAACAAAAAAAAATTTTTGTTTGTTCAAGTTAAAAAAAACATTCAACTTGATATATTTACCATTTTACTTAGCAGAACATTACAAAAAAAATAATTTCAGGTTCCGAGTGTCCTGCCGTGTCAACATGACAGCCAGTGAATGAGAAAGCTAAAAGAATTGAGCATTGAAAAAACAAATTCTGATCAGCAAGACAATGTACAATGAGCTACAGCGGGAACCTGCCAGATTGGCATCAGTATAACCCACCACAACATGGACGTACAGGATCGTCCGGGTCACAAAATGCTAATTCAAGTCATATATACCACTCAAATATTAACCCATCGGCACTCGACTCTTTAAATTTAACGACAAACGAACGTCAGAGTAAGCATCATCGCAATGACGTTAATTATTCGCGTGGTTACGCGTCGACGGCGATGCCTGGAGCAAATTGTGGAACCAACTCAAATACGAGTGTCCACATGGGGCTTTCAGGCTGTGTGGGCCACTACGGTTCATCACCTTCGAGAAATCCGATGATAGAGGGTATGTCGGGCTCAATGGATCCACGCTTGGCACCCGTGGGTCCAATGAATGAGCCTGAATTATCACATCGGAGCAACCAAATGCCATTTAACCCACCAAATCATTCAAGTGCATCAAATATAAATAATATTCATTCTAGTATGGCTCCACAGACCTCACCAGTGGGACCAATGTCACCAGGAGGACGTCAAGGTCCACCGTTTGGGAATTGTAAAGGTCCGTGTTGCAATCCCGATGCGAGTATTGGCTATCCACATTGGGAAAAATACAGCCATTATCCACCGAATGCTCCTCCTTACCGAGATAATATGCGAACCGCTGGTTATCATGTGGAAAATCGTCGCTATGTACCGGATATGAATCTTAGAAAGGATTGTATCGAGAATAAAGAATTACCTTCAGCACCATTTCCTGTGGACAATCGTCGAAATTATCCCGAATACAAGTATCGTAAAGAATTATCACGAAATTATCCTAGTTCTGGTTTAATTCAAAATTACAATCCAATTCAAGGTTATAACTTTCCATCGGAATGTCAAAAATGTCCTCACTCTGTTAAAGATTATTTACGACGTAGCGGCTCTAATGCTCAAGCTATAAATTCACAAAATCAAGGAATTATTAAATATCCAGAGCAGCAGCAGCAGCAGCAGCAGCAGCAGCAGCAGCAGCAGCAGCAGCAGCAGCAGCAGAGTGTTATTGTACAGCAAAAATACAATAACAAACAGATGTCATATCCGAATGGTGTTATGGGAACAAATAATATGCCAACATCAAGCGCCAGTAATATTCCATCATCACTACAAAATTCTTACTTTAATCCTCAGTTACCTCGGGATATGGTTAGAGATTTTCCACGAGAATTTCCCGATCCCGGTGCCGTTGGAACTCGATTACCAACGTCACCTTCAGCGTTACATGGGCCTTACCAAAAGTACCATGGTTATCAACAAAAATTATCAATGCAAAGATTTTCAATAGAGAGTCATTTGCGTGCAATGACAAGAGTTCCGGGTTACCAATCGCATCCTAAATATCAAGAATATTTGATGAGATATCGTGAATTATTGAGGTTACAACAGAATGCTGATTACCAAGGAATGCTGCAGGAAACTTCGAAATTATCAAGTCCATCTAATGGTCCACCTCCAATACCACCGATTAATTTACAATTTGATCAGAACGGTGTTCTTATTAATACTAATTATAATCCTGGACATTTTCCGAGTATACTTAATACGGTAAATCCAATAGCCACAACAGAAAACACTGATAATACGGATAATAACCAAACGAATATTATTAGAAATCCGATGGAACAACAGCAAAATAGTTATAACAAAATAACAGAGCAATCATTAAATTTAACAAGAAATCGTGATAATATTCATCATCAAGAAAATTATTTAATGCAAAAAAATGATGCTACGGATTTTGATAATTTAATAGTAAATGTTGATGAACTTGATATGTCACCGCCTATAAGAACATCAGCTGCAAATACTTTGGGTACAACGTCAATGCTTTCAATTGATAACACAAATTCAAAAGAATTTACAGATAAACCAGCACTTGATGTACGACAATTTTTAGCTAATTGGGATGAGACTGAGGACGAAGAAGCCACAGCTGCTAATCTTTCACAAGCTGGTATAAATAATATTACGTCAGTTGTTGGAGGAAGAAGAGCCTCTGTTTCACCACCAAAACAAATTACATCTGAAGATAATCGTGAATCACAACAAAATAAAATAGTTAATAATTCTGATAAAATTTCAGAACAGACAACAACAATACTAGATGCTAATTTAATTGTAAAAAATAATGTTGAAAATATAAATGTTACCGGGTTAAAAACAATTGAAGAATTAACTAATTCGGGTACTATTGTTCAGTGTATACAAAGTGATTCTGATGATATACCAACAATTCATATTGTCGATCATCTACCAAATGAATCTGAATTAACGACTATTCAAACGGTTTATAGTGATGTATCATCATTGACGATGGAACAAATTGCTAAGGCACCAATTGAGATTATTAATGAAACACCTGAGGGTACTGAAACAATAACACTCTATGAACCTGACTCGGGTGTTTGTACTAAAATACCAGAATGTAATGACAACGCGGAAGTCGCTGAAGGTGTAATTGTCGTTGATCAAGTCGTTGCTTCTATAATTGATGCATCTGTAGAAACTGTCGAGACAGTAACTGAAACCGCTAATGATAATAATAATAAGAATGAAACGACGCAACTTGATTATGAAAAGTCATCATCACAAGCTGATAGCCCAGATAAAAATAGTAGTGATAATGATAATAGTAATAATAATAATAATAATAATAACAATAAAAATAACAGTAGCAGCATCCTTAATAGCAACAGCAATAATAATAATAATAATAATAATAATATCAATAATGATAATAATGATGATAACAGTCATAAAAAAGTGATAAATGAGTCAAGTAAAACTAATCCGTCTCATAATGACAGTAATAGTTCTATTAATCTTAAAAAACAACATTCATTCGCAAGTGACGAATCACACAATCCAGATGATATTAGTTTACCAGATCTACCGATGTCTGAATGTACGCCTATCTCAACAACATTAAATACGCCTATTCATTCAGACAGTGAAGAATCACCGGAACATGTTACTGATTTATCAATAAACACAAATCCAATAGAAGTTATACAAAATAGTCCAATTATAAGTTTTACACATTCGCCAATTAAAATTGATCCGTATGGTAATTTAGAGAACGGTAGATTAAATGAAAAACGGCCTGAAGATTCATTGGATTTTGATTTTCATGAAGAAAATAATTTAAAAAATAAATTTGATAACAACAATGATGTTAGCAGTTGTAATAACAGTGATAATAATAATACAAACAATACAAAAAAAGCTGTTGAAGATTTCGAAATTGCCAAGAGATCAATCATTACATCTACAAATCCCGCTATTATTGTTTATGTTAATAGTGATGATATACATTCAAAAAATACATGTGAAAATCATCATGAACAAGTCAATGACGATCATCACGAAAAAGAAAATTCATCAGAGAAAGATAAAGAATTTTATCCGTTATCAGATCCTCTAGTTGGAATGACACAGTCTTCAGATTCAATATCAAAAGGTAATTTAGAAACATCAAATCCAATTGGAGATGTTTCAAATGACATGATACAGCCTGGCGACTGTTCTAGTGAGTCTTTGGGAGCTAATACTATTCTTGGTAATTCAGTAAGTCGTATATTGTCATCTGATGAAATAGATACAGGTAAATGTCCATCAATTATAAATACTGAAGATTTTCAACAGTCGGATGAACTTGATAAATTATGTAATATGTCATTAGATGACTCTTGTATGATGCCACTGATAAGCGACGATAATTCAAGGTTAACTAGAGTGCCTTTGTCTTCTATTGAGGATCGTTCATTAACTAAAGTAATGACAAATATATTGCCCATTGGTGATATGAATGTACTTGAATCGTCTGAAGATGATAATGATGATGAGCAGTTAGATAAAGAAGATGATGACTGGATAGAAGTTAAATCTTTAGACGGTCAAGATAATTTAGCTGTGAATTTATGTACTAACGAGACTGTAAACAGTAGTAAAAATTGTTTTGAGAACTCGCTAAGTGATTTGCAAGCACATCCCAATGAGTCAGAAAACAAAACTCATACTAATCCTGACAAAGTTATACAAATTAAAAAACATAACACACCGGGTTTTATAACCGTTACCAGTACTAACATCTCAGAAGAGTGTAATTCCAAGTGTGATAATTATTCGTCTAAATTAAACAACAAAAAATCGCGAGGTGATGAGAAGAAACATTATATACCATCGATATTTGACACTTCCGGTGAGTCTCAAAGTACAGATTTTACAGATAAATTTGACCATCGTAAACCAGAAAAAAATAATAGAGATCGTTTAAAGTCATTGAGGGAATACCGTCGAGATAAATCTGTTGAAAAATTATCATCAGGGAAAAATGACGTTGATGATTATGATTGCAGTCAAGATAATTCATTATCTAATGATTTAGCGGTAAAAACTAAAACAATTCAAGTTCGTGGTATTATTATCCAAGATAATGACAACAATGACGACGGTGAGAATACTGAAAGAAGTAAAAAATTTATCGGTAATAATAAAAAGCAACAAATGGATGAAACGTCAGGTATACAAAGTGATAAATCATTTGAGACAATATCTAATCCATTTAGATCCTTAGAAACACATACAGTTACCAAGTGCTTTCGTGGTGGGCGTAAAGATACTGATGTACAAATACATGTTGCTAATATTAATGTTAGAGAAAAAAGTGATGATGAAGAAAGTGAAGCCATTGACGCGATTGAAATAAAGATAAATGTGTCGCGTAGTGATAAAAATCGTGGTAATAAACAATTGAATGATAAATTACTAGACAATGTTAATGAAATTTGTCGTAACAATAGTAAACGCGGCTTCTTTTCATTTCCAGAGGGTGAGACAACAAATTATTCACCAAAATCAATTTTTAGTCATCGCCGTCGTAGGTCAGTACCAGATGAAATTGATACTAGGAAGCCAAAGTTTTTTAATGAAAAATTATATCGTCGACATAGTGGGGGTCACAGTTTTAAATCATACCGTCGAAAGTCTATCGATGATAAACATTTTATTGATAATAATAAGAAAATTCATCATCATGATACTATTAATTCAATTAATAGTAATAATAACAGTAGACATTCTGAATCAACTGTAATCCAGGATCGTCAAGATTTTACTACCGATAATGATGATAATTGCTGTATTAATTCAACCGAAATTTCTCATCATTCACAAGATGATTTACAAGAAACACTTCAAAATCATACCAGCACTCATAATGATATTAAGAATAATTTGGAAAGTATACCAGAAGATTCCAGAGAAGACGAAAATAGTAAACTAGTCGAAGAATTAAATAGTTCCAAAATTAAAGATACGCCAGGTAGATTATCGGTAGATACAACATTAAATACTTGCCGTGTTGATGATTTGGATAATATTGTTTCTAGATCATCGTGTGACATAACACCCGGTCCATCAGATACAACTTTAATGAATAATATTTGGAATAAATCAAGTTTTTTAGATGACAATGTATCATCGTTTGACTTTGATAATTTTGACGTTGCTCCAAATTTAAATAGCAATAACAGCAATAATATGATCAACAATGTTAATGATAACAATAGTCAAACGGGGTTTACACTGATAGACAATGAAGACGGTATATCATCGAGAATGGATGCAGAGGTGCGTAGTAGGAGGTTGGAAGATAGTGAAAGATATCGTAATCCGTATTCAAATGTTAGACAATCAAGCCCAGATAGCTTGGGGATTAATCTTAATACAGTTCCGGTTTATACAACTAAAGACGGCAAGATAACGTACAGTCCAAATCCACGATTTACTTATCGTGCTCTACTTATGGAAGCGAGACAGCGTGAGGGTTATCCAATGATTAAAGACTTGTATCAACCAAGAGTTCAATCGAAAGATTACCAAGAAAAAAGATGGAATAAACGTAAATATGAATTAACAGATGGAGATAAATATTATGATGCGACTAAACGAACCAAGTCAGCGACCTGTAAATTTGGAAGTGGAAGATGGGGAGATAATAATCATGATCGACAGATAAAAATAAATAATAGATTTAATAATAAGTATGGTGGTAGATCGAGAGATAGAGTCGATGATTATGTTGATTTTATTGGTGATCAAAGTACTATTTACACAGAAATTTCAACGCCGCTTAATTATTCAACAAGTGACTCTATATTAAATTATGATTACTATCAGCATTCACAGTCTATGATCTACAGCGGCCGTAGAAATGAAGATTATTATCAAGAAGAAACATCGAATTTTACAAGAAAACATGATGTTAATTTAGATTGGGATCGTGCAATTGAGTTACCAAGTGGTTCAATGATGAATTACAATAATTATGATAATAATGTAGTTAATAATGAAACTTTTCAAGATAATAATAACAGAAGTGTGGACTTAAAATTATCAAACGGGGAAGAATTAGAAAAATTTCCAAAGAATTTAACACATGATTGCCTTCATGAAGATGATACGGAGATTTTGATGCCTGATGATATTTCCAAAACAGATATTATACCATCAAAAGATATTTGCAGTGTTAGTGAAAGACGTGAAAAAACAACGAGAGAAAAAAATAAAATGACTCCGGATTCTTTGGATCCTGAAGCATCTAACGACGATGATGATGACTTTAAAGATATCGGGGGTAATTCTATAATGATTATGAAACCACCAGCTAGCGTTGATACCGAGCAGGATTCTCAAGCAATGCTTACTGATAGTGGACTTGAATCTTCTACTACTTATACAGAAGGTAGTAAAAGTAGTAAAGAGCCAAAGAGATGCCAAAGATGGCCAAAAAGATTGTTAGATCGTGTGGAAAAAGTTGATAATATTAAAGAGTCTAAGATTGATAATAATATTTTTGAATCAATAGTTGATTTGAATGTTACCGATAATATTATTTTACCTGTTACTAATTCTGATAATAATGTTGAAAAAATTGATGATTTAAGTCAAGATAAAGCCAAAATGTTTATTGAATATGAAGATAAAGAAATGGAAGAAGAAAAAGAAAGTGAAAGTGTCAATCAAGATATGAAAAATGGAGAGAAAGAGAAAAAAGAAGAAATTATAGTTAACGAAACTATGACTAAAACAATACCAAATATTAAAAATATAGAAAAACTAACAAATTTATTTCTATTTGAAAATAATGAAAATAAATACGACAGTACAATGCTAAAAAGCCTTGATTTAGCATTTCCCAGTCGTAAAAAAGTAACTCGTAAACCAAATGGTCAAGTTAAAATTAATACTGAGACTGTTGTTAATATTAATGATAATGAAGAACCAAATAATAAAAATGGTAGTAAATTAAATGATTTACCATCATCTTCGTCTGTGTTTACAAAACAAATTTTAAATTTTATGGAATTTAAAAAATTAAACGAGGGACCAATAATTAGACGCATATCGAGTGATGAAGTTGAATCACGTAAACGAGAAAATAATATGAGTATTTATTACGAAGATATAAGTAGTTATACGGGTGCAGGAACATCTTTATCAACAGCAACTGATGCCATTGGTGATAGGAATATTTTTGTTAACAAAAAATTTAAACATCAACTAATAAATAAATTGATAAACGTACAAACAACTATCAGAGAAGCTGAATCGTGTGACGATGAATCGCATAATAATACAGCTATTTGTTTATCATTAAAAGAAATTTCTGTTAGCGATAATCATAATAATGTCGATGATGAAGATGAAGTGTTTGAAAAACCAGCAGTACCACCTGTTGTTTTCGGACCTGCGAATAATCCAGATTTGATTAAAATAAATGAGCCTGAGCCAAGTGAAATTTCAACAGAATCTGAAGTTTCTAATTATATTGACACGCGTAGTTCAACGCAATTCGGAAGCGACTGTGCTGAATCTAAACAAAACAGTGGTGATTGTAGTAACAACGCTGGAATTAATTTTCTGTCTACGTCTAGTCAAGAAGCTATTGATGTCATCGATCTTAACGAAATGAGGAAAAACTTGGTTTTAACTATACCAAAAAATGATAATTGTGAAACTGGAGAGCAGCTGCAGTTTAATAAATTGAATGATTTATCAAATTCTCAAAACGAAAATGATGATGACGTCGAAATTGATGTTGATGGAATTAATGATAGTGAAGTTGGTGTTGATGTCGATGTAGATGATAAAACAGAAAGTGGCAGTAATAAAACTAATAAATGTGATATTAATGATAAATTATTGGCATTTTCTGGTAAAATATCTAGTGAAAGTGAAGATGATTCAAATGCTCAAGATGCATCACCGCTGCAAAATGATAAATTTGAAAATTTGAACATCATAACTAATGGGAATGAAAAGGATAAAGAAAAAATATTGAGTTTTACTGGACGGATACAGAGTCCAGAAAATCGTGTTGAAGTACATCAAAATTCACCGGTATTTAGATCAGATAATAAATTAGAAGATAATAATTTGAAGGTTTTAAATTTTTCTGGACGTATACCTAGTCCTAAATATCATTTTGATACATTTTCAATAAAAAATTCTACTGAACCAATGGAAAGTTTGAATACATCTTCACACTTCAATGAAAGTACTGATAAAAATTTTACATTTTTGGGAAAAATAACTAGTGATATACATGGTAAGGTGGTAGATAGTAATAATAAACCATCAAAAACAGTAATTGTGTCAGATAAAATACCAAAATTTATCATTAAGAAGACTGATTGTTCGTCAAAATCATCATCGACGATATCACAAGTAGTACCACCGTCTGATGTATCATCACTAAAAAGTATCGACACTAAAGCGTCATCGAGTCATAAAATTTCTTTACATCCTAAAATACCAAAGATGATAATACGAAATTTAAAGTCACGTCCTGGTACTCCGACAGTAGAAGAAAATGCTGTTGAGTTGTCATTTCCAAAAGCTCATGAAGATCAAAAAATATTCGAAGTTAAAATAAAATTGGATGATAAAAAACAGCATGAATCGCGTAATAAGGAATCAGTTAAAAAATCTATTGGCATTATTGAGTGCAAAGTACCTAAAATGAAAATAAAACTCGATGACTGTCAACCAAAAATGATTTTTGAAAATGCGAGTATGGAATTATATGACAATGATTCAGAATCTCCTAAGAATGTACCGAAGGTTAAAATTCGTAAGATTAAAACATCAACTTCACAGAACGAAACATCATCATCTATTAAAGTTACAACTAAGAAGAATGACCATTCAGAAAAGTCGGACAGATCTGAAAAATTAGAACGAACTAGTAGCAGTAGTAGAATTGATAAATCTAGTGACAAACATAGAACTGGTGAATCAAATCGTGATAGAGATAATGATGATAAACATGAAAAAATTCCAAAATTAAAAATCAAAAAGCCAGAATCACGTCATTCTCAGTCATCCCATGATTTAAAAAAGAAGCGATCCAAAAGCCCGACAGATAATTCTAGCTCATCCCAGAAAAATTATCAGAAAAAATCATCAAGTCGACATCGAAGCGAGACGAGACAGTCAAGTGAACGTTCACCATCCGCAGACAAAGAGGGGAATACAAATTCTCATGCAAGTATGTCAGAGAAAATACCGAAAGTGATAATAAAACGTGCGTCATCCAGTGCAGAATTTAAATGTGAGTTGAGTAAAGACGGTGGTGATGCCATTAAATTAGATTCTAAATGGCAACCAGAAGTTAAACTTGAGCGTTTCAAAGTGTTGGACACAATGGCTAAAGAATCAACTCGTGTTAAAATTCCAATTAATATGCTTCAAGTATTAACAATGCGTGACATATCACATGTATCAACGTGTTCTAAAAGAGATCGTTGGACGCGTACATCCTCTGATCCAAGTGATAGGACTCATTTTCGTTCAGATCGATCAATAAGCAAAGGTAAACGCAGACATTCTGATTCTGGGCGATCAGGGAAAGGATCTTCAAGTTCTAGTTACCATAGCAGTGAGAAGAAATTCAATGACAGGAGAAATTCAACTAGAAGTTTGAATGATGACTCGGATACCGAAGTATTTCCGAGAATAATCAGACGTGATGCTCCAAAACGTTTGAATGACGAGTCGAGTCAAGATGAAAGTCTCGATACTGTATCCACTGCGTTCACTGATTCATTTAAAAACCAGCAACTACATCAGCAGACTCAACATGAGAAAGCTCCTGTAATTGAATTAATACCAACACCAACGATAGCTATAACAACTTCAACAACAAGTGAAGAAACTAAAAGTGAATTTGAATTTAGTGCAGCAATTAGTAATCAAAAGGTAAATAGTTCCTGTACCGAACCAACTGTCACGACACTTGTCAGTGAAGCTGATGTAACAGTGGATGTTGTGAATAATAGTAATAATGAAACTAATAATAGTAGTAGTAGTAATAATAATAATAATCATAATAATAATATTGATATTGTTGAAAATTATGAAGTACCTGAATCAGTGATAAAACTTGAATCGTCTGATGAAAGTCAGACTACTATTGAAATTCTTCCTGCATCACCAGAATTATCACAACCAGAATCAGAAGCACCGATTCCACTAAAAGGTAAACGAAGAATAGCTAATGGTGATATGGCACAATTATATTCAGAGGATGCAATACCAACGCAATTTGAACTTGAATTGGAGATTGTTGATAATAGTTCTGAATCATTAGAAGTTCCTGTACCAGATATAAAAAATTCATTTTTAACAGATAATTATTGTTCACCGAATTATGCTGAATCTGATAGTGCTGCTGTTGTTAATGATAATTATTTAAACACACTAAATAATCAAAGTAATAATATTGTTAACAATGTAGATGATGGTGGATGTTGTTCAAAGATAGTGGCAATTGATTATCAACGTAAATGTGATGCATCAAGTGAAACAAATATTTGCTATTCAGATTCATTGGTTAAAGAAGTTTTAGCGGCTAAAGAAACTCTTAAACGGTGTCTCGCCAAAACTAAAAGTGAAAATAAAAATAGTGGTAGTAGTAGTAATTATAATAATTATAATAATAATAATAATAATAATAATAGTAGTATTGATAATAATAATTGTGGTAATAGTAAGTCTAATTTATTATTATTAAGACCAAAGACTGCTGCAGAAAAGAAACAAGGAACTGGATTGGATGTATTAAAAAGATCGAGCAAGAAAGATGAAGTTAAAGTTGATAAAAATCGTGTCTTCCAAGAGAGTACAGTTTCGTGTGATGTTTCACGTAAGGATTCATCAAAGTCACATCACGGAGAAGTTAGAAAACGAGAAGGAACTGATAGAAAGCATGAAAGAAGTGACAAGAAACGTGAAGAAAGATCTGATAGAAAGCACTCTAAGTCCAAGAGAACTAGTAGCTCTGATAGACGGGAAAAGCGCTCGAAAATAGAGTCCGAGTGTAGTAGCAGTAGTAGTAAAAAACACGATGAAAAACCTGTCAGCGTAACAGTAGCACGTGACAGCGCTCTTTTGGTTACTGACACGATTAAAAGTCTCAAACGCTCTCGAGAATCGATCGATTTAAATGAAGCCAGTAATTCTACCTCGAAAAAATTAAAGTCATCATCTTCACATTCTGCTGAAAGTTATAACTCCAGACCGAAAGCTTCAAGTTCTTTATCATCATCATCATCACCATCACCTTCACCATCGCCATCACCATCACCATCATCCACATCATCATCATCATTATTATTACCAAGGAAACATCACTATGAATCTGGAAGCTCTAAAGACTCTGAACACCAACGACAGCCATGTCCGTCACCAAGTACTGATAGTTCAAGTAAGATGTGTAGTTATAAAATACCTAAAATACCAAAACAACATCATCAGCATCAGCAGCAGCAAGAGCTTAAAACAACAAAGACGACAACTGTGGTTACGGCTAATAGAACAGAGACAATGCCTATTTTAGAACCGGCTGATCAACTTAATTTTGATCTTAATGAACGAGATACTTCGAGGTCTCCGCCGGAAATTACTAAGCAAGACAGCACGGAATTGAATTCAGATAGTCCTAAAAAAGTTGATGAGAAAGCAAGTGAAAAGGATGATTCTGTTATACATCAAGATTCCGAAGCTGTTACATTTGCTGATATCGTTGCGCAAATGGCTTATCATGAAAAGGTTTGTGTTAATAAATTTTTTAATATTATATTTTTTTTTGTTCTAAGTTAAGAGATGTTTGGATAGTATCCGCTTAGAGAATAATTTTTTTTTAATCAATGTCGTGATAAAATTGTAATGATAGTGTTTTTCTTTCATGAGAATTTTATTTTTCTTCAATTATTAATAAAGTCATTATATAAAATGTTATTATAAGATTATTAAAAATCAAATCAGACTTAAAGATTTTTTAAAAGCTATTAAACGTTATCACAAATATAATTCTTAATTAATTATAAATATTTGAGTCCCGGGAGTTGAATTCTAAAAAAAAAAAAAAATTTGCATAATGATGACTTTGATTTATCAAGAAGAATTATTTATTTTATAAATTTTAAAGCTTGTCAAAACAAAAATATATTTAAAAAAAAAAAATAAAATCGACGGCTGTCGATGCAGGTAAGAGTTATATAAATAAAATGTATAATTGAATAAATATTAATGCTTTTAGGCTACAATTAAGCACAAACGCTACTGTATATTGTGTGAGAGATGGTTCCCAACAACAGAGAGACATAGGCGGCATTTAACTGGCTATCAACATCGGCATACTGAACTTACGCAACGCAGAACCGTCCATGCCTTATTCATGCTATTTACTGGTAAACCATGTCCTCGATTATTGCCTGCAAGTATCGTTAGGACAGATTGTGTACCTGGTGAACCAACTCCACTCCAAATAGCTGTTCAAGTAAATTATTTATTTTTTACTAAATAGTTTATCGCGTATCTTTTATCAATAGTTTGGTATAAAAATACTTCAAAATAGTTTGGGTAAATCCGAGTTATAATAACACTTTTTTTTTAAATATAGTTATAAAAAGTTCTGATAATCCAGCTAAACTATTGATAATTCTAATACATGATGAAATAATTTAATTTACTAATAAATCATTTTTTTATTTTAGGATGTAGCGATAGGCTTGGAAAAAAGCACCAGTAATAAAAGCAAAAACATTAATGAAGAAGACAAGTCGTGAGTAAATAAGTGATAAGTTGGTAGCCAAAGATATTAGTAACGAAAGAAAAAAAAAATAAAAATAGAAAAAAAAAACAAAAAAAAAAGAAAATGATAAGCAAAAAAAATATATATACATAGTTATGCATATATAATATATATAAATACACAAGAAATACATATTTAGATAAATTAGTATATATTTAAACTTGAATTTACCGAGATATTCTCGAGGTATTTCAAACAATTGTACAAATAAATGTTACGAGTACGTTATACTCGTAGTTGTTTCATCCGTTAAAAAAACATAAGTCAAAGAAAAATATTACATAAATGAAAAACATAATATTATATATTTATAGATATAAATAATATTTTGACATAATATATTGATATTTATTGATGTGATTTTCTGTATGAAATCGCATGAATATTGCATACATATAAGTATGCACGGGTTACACGAATAATATAAATTTTACAACAATCACTTAAGAATTATAGAAATTTACTATTTAAATAGATAAATTATCTTTATCTTAAATTGTGATTCAGTGATTTTAGTACATATTTATTAAGTAAATGTGAATATAGGTTTGATATAAATATAATTATATTTAAAAAGTCTTTTAACTTGTTTGGCCTTTCATCCACTCTCTTGCTCTTGATAATTATTTTTAGCCTGATTCCAATTTTTTTAAACACAAACAATACACGTGTGCCTTATTAATAATACATTGGATTTTAATAATAATCAAAATTTACATAAATCAATTCATTACTTTTATTTGAGACAAGAAATTTATATTTTTTGTCATAAATAAAACAAATAAAAAAATATTTTAATACGATACTAAAGGCACTAAAAAAGTTTTTAATGAATTTTACAAAAAATTTTTGCATATTGTGTTGCATTTATATAATTATTTTTGGTAGATAAAATAAAATACCGATGTGTCCTTATAAAATATTATATTTTATGCTACGCTAGATGAATTATAATTTTAGATAAATTTTTTTAACAGTGAAAGTGTTTTTTAAAAATATTTATGTGCAATTGTAGGTGTGTTTTTTTATCAATATAATGCAAATAAATTTTTAAACTTCAAAGGCTAACTAATAAGATATTAAATTATAGCGCAATGAGCATTTGAATAATCAATGGAGAGTGATAACAGATAAAATTTTTTTTTATTAATAATACTTAACAATAAAATAAAAAAATTAAATTAAAAATTTTTTTCGACTGTAGATGTGTTAAATATTACAATTATTGTGTGTTCTATGTGCCTAAATTATATAAAAATAACAAATATCTTTAATAATTAGTACAATGATATATTAAACATACATCTACGCTATAAATATAACATAATAAATATATATTTATATTTGTACACATGTACAAAATAAATGTGCGATTCAATTAAATGTCGTGTTACAATTGTTGTTACATTATAATTCAAATGTGCCGTAATAGATATTTATCACTACATCGAATGCAAACAACAAAGATAAATTTAAAAAAAATATATATTTTAACCATTTGAAAGATACGTGTTTTACCGTTGATTGAAAATACAACGTAATGCAGTTACATTTGTGATAATAAAAAAAAAAAAAAAAAAAACAGG